TGTGAGAATGCCACTCACGTCTGTGGCTTCTCCTTCGTTGGCCCTTCTCTGGCCGATGGATGAACACTTAACATGTAAACAGCGACTGCAGAATGACATACTACTGTCCGAGAAACAGCCCGAACGTCGTCCTATTGGGACGACGGTGAGCCGAGCGAGGAAGAAGAAGTTTCGCGAGACCGTCTGTGATGAGCGGGAAACGTGTTCCTTTTTCGGATTACCCAAGGGAACTTCATCCGAGCACACCGGTCATGTCAATCTACTCGACCAACGGGCAAGCAGTCAAGCAGACGGCCGGTCCGTTTGCTTGTCCGCCTGCTTCGCCCTGACCCGCTCGTCCAGCCGCACGGATCGTGCACATACTTTCATCCGCCTCTTATCAATTTCAGGGACGAGCCTCAGTCTATTGGTCGGGTGAAGGCACGCATAGCATGCCCTTCCTCTCCGCAGAAGCAGCCGGTCTCGGAATCGGTGATTGTTGACTCACTCTGTGTAACAATCGTGTTGTTGAAACGCGATAAAACAAAGAACATGAGGGCTTCTTAATGTGCTTAGCAACGGAATCTCAATCGGTCCCCTTCCGGATCATTCATTCGTGGATATTCGTGTGGGCCATGGTGGAGTGATATACGAGAACGACGAAAAAAACGGGCGCTGGCCGATCCTCTCCGAGTCCTAGCTCGATTGACCTCCGGGCCAGGTGTCATTAACTCTCTCACGCCTCATAATTAGAGCGTACGAGCGTCGACAAGGAAAATGAAAGGCCGCTGTTCCGATTCTCCGCCGAAGTTCACTAATTTCGAGTCTCCATCAAAGGGATTTGAGATACGGAGTTGATGAGAGACGAGTCCCCTGATGAACAGCACCCGACTCTCATTGAGTTTTTGATCGCTCCGGCTATTCGGTAACGGAATCGAAGAGATGGAAACTTTTAGTCAGGGGTCAGGGAACATTCTGCAGAGGGCACAGCGGGCTTGGTCGAAATTTTGTCGAATACATGTACAGGAGGGAAATGTTTTTTTTTCCTCCGGTCCTCGTGGCCTAGGTCTCTCTTGGACGAATTCTCGAATTTATCCTGCTCAGCTTGAATTTTTTCGTTTCTCTCTGGTCCCACCCCACCGCGCTCAAATCGGCTCACTCGTCGTGCTCCCTCAACCTTGCCGTCGACGATCCGCCAAATCGAAAGCATCGTTTCTGCTCACTGGTTCTTTCACCGATTTCGTAATTTTCCCTCGGCAGCCTTACTCGGAGCTCTTCTCCGACTTCTCAACTGCACCACCAAAACGCTAATGTCAATCCGGGAGCTCGCTTCTCGAATTCCCCGCCCCCACCCGCTCAAACAGCCGCGGACGGACGGCCTGTTGGGAGTTGCTCTGTATAGTAGCTCTGGTGGCAAGCCCTCTTCCCTTCCATCGAGTGCTGCGCCCTGGGACGGGGAGGAACAAATCGTTTCCGTTTACCCCACATGAACGCTCATCTCCTTTCCTCGATCTCTCTCCTTTTTCCCGTTTCGCTCGCCCGACCAAATGACTGAGGGAAGCGGCTCAGCAGATGGAACCGCACGCGAGCTCCTTCAGCGACAATTTCAAACTGAAATCCCGCTCTGAACTGCACCGAAGAATTACCAATTCATCATGTGCAGCCTCGACTATCAAAACATTATTACGAACAATTGTAAGCAGCGGAACCGCAGAGATGGATTGACGACAGAGGGCCGACCCATCGCTCTACCCATCTCCTACCCTCTGAGCAATGGCGTCCCCCTCCCGAAATCTTCCTCCGGCCCATAGGGCCCAATGTTGAGGCTCATCATCATCAAAGGTTAGCCCCTACCAGGACAACGGCCCTGCCCCCCTTCGCGCCCCCGCCCCAAGGAGAAGTTCTGGGCACGCGCCTGCATTCGAAACTAAAGACACAACTCAGGTAACTCTCGAAGCGGATCGACATCGCTCCAGAAACCTTCGTTGTGAAGTCCTTGTGAAGAGTTTCGGCGACTGTCAACCGAAGCCATTTCGACAGATATGGTTCGAGAGATATGGTTCGGTTGTGTGTTCGATGATGATGCTCTTGTCTGCAACAACCGAGAGGAGCGAATATCGCGGCAGACACCTCAATGTAGATTCTCACTAACGTTTGCCAAAACAGCCGAGCAAGGAAGGGTCGGTCCCAGCATACAAATGGAGAATTTCTTTCCCGCCTTCCTCCACTCTTTGTCTGCCCTCCTGCCCGCTCGCTCGCCTGCCTGCGGGCTTCTGTACTTGACCCCTATTTGAGTCCTGTTCGAGTTCTTGTATTGTTCCCCTCGACCTCTTCCCGTTGCTCCCCACACGCAACACCAAATTGCAGCTTCCGAGGAGCAAAACAAACGCTGTCTGTGCCAAGTCGGAGGGGAAGTTGTCGTAATCCGAAGGAGCCTGTGTTGACAAAAGAATCGTTCTCTTTGGAATTTTAGGAGCCTCGCAGAAAAATCGTGAGCTCCAATGAATTTGAGCGGTTTTGAGGGTTTTCGATCTCCGAGACGGGTGTCCCAGGGTCTGAGTAAGTGCCTTCAGCGAATTGAGAACTTTCCGAAAAACTCCAGGCAGCTCGCTGGAAAACTCGTCCTCAAAGTCATCTCAGGTTCATCTTTCAAGTAATGACTCGGAGGAGATCGTGTTTCGCGCAGCTCCGTTCCCTGTGTAGCTCGCTTGTCATGTGACGTCATGGACTCCGTGTAACGATCCCGGCGCGCTCTGATTCCGTGCTCGGTCGGCAGCCCCGATTGACTAGGAGGAGGAACCCAGTTGTCAAGATTAGCTGCGAGAGGAGGTGTTAAGGGAAATGAGGAACAAGCCCAGAGCCCCGATCTGAGTAATTGAGACGTATGCTCTTTCCTTGCTCCATCTCCATCGGCGAGAGCTCGGTCTGCCCGGTGAAATCCCAACCCCGGGAGAGACAATGCCCCACCTGAAAACCCGAACCACCTGAGGCGAGTCTCTCTCGACCCGAGTTATGCAACACGGACACAGCTCGACTCAGCTACCTTCATTGTAAGGGGATCGCTTTGTCCTCATACTCAGTGCGACGCCAACGGTGGGCGTATTGAGATGAGTGCTCTGGAGCGAAGATTTCCGAAATCCTCTATCTGGGTCTAACGCAAGAATGGTCGAGATAGCCGTTCGCCTCCAACTGACTTTTGAGGAGGGTCTGCTGCCAATGATCTCCTCCAGCCCACCGAAAACGAGTTTCCACTATTTACTCAGTCGGTATTCTGAACAGATCCATGACATTGGCTTGCCATTGTTGGTCGGATCATTTAACGCTCACTGTATTTTTTACGATGTTTGTCACACTCGCTCTCTTCCAGACCCTACGCCGATTATAATCAGGGGCCCTGTGCTCACCTCGGAGGACGGCCCCCCATATCGTGTCTCTGCTCGGAAGGCCGCGGGTAGAGAATATTCACTCTGTGCTCCCTCGGCATAGTCATTGCTCCGAGATATGGTTTTTCGCCGATCTCGATTCTCAAAAAGGAATAGTTATTCCTGGAAGGATGCTTCGGATGTCAAACTGAAATTGTTGCTTCGACGACAGTAGGCGCCCTTCATTCGGAAGAAACAAAGAAACTCAGAAGGAGGCCAGGATTTCAGGGACGATCGAACCGTGAGTCGCCACGAGAGAATTAGATATTCTCGGATCTCATGCTTCGGGATCCGAGTCTTGGACGGGAGACCGTCGATCCGACTCAATTCCCTCGTACGATAAGTCTCGAAGACGATCGAGTGAATTCAATGAGGGGCGAATCCCGCGGGGGGACGCTCGAGGAGCTCCTTCAGTGCAGGGGACAATACCGTCCCGAACAGTCAGACGGTAATTTCACTAGTTGAAGCATTAAAGCTATCGGAAACTGATCCAGGAGAACTAGACGGAGAGGACCGAGCAAAGTAGCGTTGGGCTGGCATGAATCGAGCGAGCGGGCGAGCCCACCTCTGAGCCAGCTACCCGTCCGATCCCCTAGCCGGCTGACTGGATAGCGACGGTCCCTTGTGTTTAGTGTGGCCTTAGGGAACAACGTCTTAATCGAATTAGCTCTGGTCTCTTTTTCCAGCTTAGCTGCGGCGACGGCGGCGGCACCAGCACCACCAGCCATGGTGCCCATTCGGACTCGTGGCCGAATCGAGGAGAGCGAACCAAATCAAATAGAGTGGAACTTTATCGTCTGCCTGCTGTCTCGGCCGCACGTCTCGAGCTCTCATCCTTATGCCTCGCTGCTGTCAGTACTCCCGTTTTTGAAGAGAGGAAATTCTCTCCGGAGCCGAATATACTGATTATCTTATGGAATATCGTTGGACCATCCGGCTGTCAAATCGGAGAGTGGCTCGGGATCCACCAGCTGATCGGATCGCGGAAGATCGGTCGAGCTTCCTGCTCGGCCCGGTCGGATATGGAAGGGTGCTCCTGAGAAAAATCGACAGCTAACCGTCTGGCGCCCCGAAGGTCGAGATTCGACGTCGACGCGGGCAGGTATTCATGGGGGAACGCATCCTCCAGTCGTAACCCGACAGAGCTCGATAAGTCCGAACATTTTCCCCGGCTGGATCATTTCCTAGTGGTGTACTCTCCCCTTGCGTTCCCTCTCCTACGTCGCCACTCTCCATGACCGATCCTGAGAGCGCGTCCGATGGTGCCAGGACCATTTCCGGCGAAAGCTCCACAAAAGATGCTTCTGCCTAAACGCTGATTCAGTGGGAACTCGATTCTGCACTCCGTACAAGTGGCGTACAAATGACTCAAACTAAGGAGAGCAAGCGGAGAAGCAGTGCGCTCATCGAGCAGAAATCACCGCATGTTATTCTGTTCCAAATCGACTTTTAGTGCAATTCGATCGGTTGGAGAAAAAAACGCGGATCCTGGGGAATTGGATACACGGGAAGAAACAAGAAGGTGCCTTGGAACAGCGTCTCGATCAGACTCCGAGGAATAACGACGTCTCGAAGCTGAGATCTGACACCGGTGTAAAAATGTCTCTGCTGACAGCCAGAGCCACGTGCCTGTTCGGTTGGATCGTCATCTTCGTGGGTGAGTAGAGTGAATAGTGCAAAATTACTCGCAGCGCAATGAAATCCTTCCGCTGGAGGCAGAACTCCGTCCGTGAGGAGGGAAATTCATCTTCCTCGAAAATGACCGAGAACAGGTCGGGCACATTAACGAGTACGGACTTCAAGGGGCTCCAGTTCCCGCGGCTTCCCGAACTTTCTCCAGGAGGGTTCTCAGATATCCCGCCGTTCGACCCTTCTGGCACTAGACGCGGAGCGTGAGAGTCGAACATTTCACGGGGAGGATTCACCGTCGACATCAACGCTGTGGGTGTCGCGATCCACAAAGTATGTCAGTCTTTTCGATGGGGGATCGGGGATACACTCAGCCCTGCGTTGTTCCCTCCCCTCACGAAATGAGCACGGTCCTTGTTCTCTCTTCCCGGCAATTTTTCCCGAGTGTCGGAGAGTGTTTTGGAAGTAGCCGGAGTCGTCTTCCAGCGAGGAGCTTGCAGTACCCTCAGGAACAACAACAAAACTTTCCTCCGGCCGCTCCTCGCCACGTCATGACCAGCTTCGAGCTTTTTAAGCTCGCGAGGCACATAGTCGGTCGACATCCTCCAGGATCGATGCTCGAGGGTCGTTCAAGAGGGGCTCGACCGAAAACTACGCAGAAACGGCGATCATCACAAAAATGAGAGCGGTGTACGACGTAGAACAATTCCGGAGCAGATCGGGAAAAACTGAAGTAGGGGAAGTAATGGCCTCCTCTTCCTCTTTGTTGCTTCCGTTCCCAACGACGCCAAGAGAAAACGGAACGACGTTGTCGCGCGACCATCTCATTCGTTCATTCCTCCTCCTGCTGTTCTGTTCCGTCTCGTATCGGATCCTCCCCAGCCTTAAATTCTATCCTGTGTGTGTGCGACTTCCCACACGACCCCCGAAAACATCCCTCAACTGAAGCTTTCTACCCTGTTGTCCGAGACTTCGCATTGCACGAGAGCGAACCGGAACAAAAACGTCAACAATAACGAGACCAGGAGCGGAGTCGGCACAAGGTTTTCAGCAGAGGAAGCAGATGTAGGAAGCTTTGACTTTCTTCCCGCTTCCTCCGCTCCAATACCAAAACGTTTTTCGTGTCGATTCCCTTCCCTCGCGTTCTGAGCGCGTCGGCAAACCGACCCGTCCGTCGACCAACTTTCGTCAAGCATTTCGCTCATGTGAGGCAGACGACTGCTCATGATGAATGCGATCACATCGATGTTCGGACCGTCTGACGGATCTTTATATTTGTAAGTGCTGGTCCGGTCCGAGCTCTCGATTGACTTTAGGGAACATGTCGTCCCTTAGTCCCTTGTCGTCTACTCTCGAGGGTCCCTGAAATACACGGGGAGTTAATAACACTTATAATGAATATTATCTAATCGCGCCACAGTTTAAAGAATGAATTATTCATCGATACATCTTCCGATGATGTAGAGCGGTGGCGAGCGAGATTCGGGCGAGCCGGGCATTCGATCGTGCACTTGAGTCCGGAGCTGATGAGTGAATTCCGACGAGAGCGACATTCTCAGATGTCGCGCGCCCACTCGCTCTCCGCATGATGTTTCAATCTGGGGAACACAAGCGGAAATTAGAGGCCCATCCGCCTGCTTACCAAGCAGACTGTTATGTGAAAGTGACAGATGTGCTCTTATGACGTATCGAGGGAAGAAAAATCACCGCCGACCGCGACAATCGACTGCTTAGCTCGCAGAATGGTCTCGGAGCGTATTCATCTATTGTAGACCGTCTCCGCGGCGAAGAGCGTTCTGAGTACCGTGTCGGATAGGCCGAACTCTCGATTGCTCGCATTCTTCCCGAGCAGATCTCTTGGGAAGAGGATCCCGACACTGCCAAGATCGATATTCGCAAATTGCACGGGTGGAAGTCGCGAAAGTCATGGCTGCCGGAACGTTTCATTACGTAGGATCGTCATTCCCCCGATCGATCATCGTAATCCCTGTCAAGAGATGGGACCCCTGAAATACGTACATTCCATCTTTATATCTTCTCTGACTTCCAGTCAATATTGTTGAGTCGGTCCGCATCGTGAATCTGGCAGTGCCACGCTTAGTTCAGAACGGCACAACACCATCGGTGGTCCTCGACTGCATATACTCGTACACCGAGGAAGATCAACAACTCGTGGTGAAGTGGTTCTTCAATCAGGACCCGAAACCCATTTATCAATGGATACCGGACTTGAGCAAAAGAGCTTATTCGAAGTCGCGAGTCTTCGATGGACACATCAACAGAAGCTATGAAGCGACAGAAGACCCAAATACGAAGTTCAGGGCCCTAAATATCCTCCGGCCTTCAACGGAGATGAGTGGAAACTACTCATGCTCGGTCACATCGCTCATGGGACAGGACACACGAACCCAGGATATGATCGTCTATGGTAGGTCTGGCAATAAATCGTCGCTGAGAGAACCTCAGCTTTCCGGCGAATCAAAATGTAGGTGACAGAGTCCTACGGTATCTAACGGAAGACTCTCCCATAGCGAAACCGCGCATATTCGATCTGTCCCTTTTGCGCGCCGATCATTCCGAGGAGACGCGCTTCCGATGCAAAATTGAGGGCGTTTTTCCCGAACCACTGCTCCACATGTACAGGATGGAACGCACGCAGATAGCGGGTGAGTCTAAGGTGCCCGAGGGGAAGAGGATAGGTACTCCAACCTCGTCGAAGGGAATAGTTTTCCAATTGCTTCTCAATAACGATGGCGTGGAATTTTCTACTCGAGTTTGAATCCTGATTTCTCTGCAGGCAGCGAGTACATGACGGTCGACAACTTGACCTTGGTGAATTACTCAGTCGAGCCTTTAGGACATCAGAGCATGCCTTCGAGGGACGGGTACCTCACCATACTGACTACTTCGATGCCGAATAGACATTTGAAACTGGGCCCGACGAAAGATACAGCGAATACGCATCAGGCCAATATTGCGAGAAGACATCTCTTCTTCTGCGTGTACACAATCCCGTCTACGGACATCAAACAGTCTCGAGTTCTAGAGTTGTATCCCGGTGAGTGGGGTTTACTTTCTGTTTGTTGTTGTAAGCTCCGAGTTCTGAATCCGCCCAGCCAACGTTCCTCAATCCTTTCGATTTCGGTGAGGAAAATCTGAAAGCTCGATACCGCTGAACGGCATCCTTCCTTTTTTCGACAGAGAAATATATGCTGGCGAGTTCATCGGTGACGGCACCCACGGAACACATATCGATCAGTTTGAGTTTGTGCGCGATGTGCCTCAGATATTTGATCGCGAATCTCACCTGAGATCGAGGTGCGTGGTTTCGCTTTTCGAAACGACTCTATGCTCGAAAGCAGCGGCTACTCTGACAACGAGCGAATTTTTTCTCCAGAACTATCCAGCCCAGCATACTACGCACGGAGCTCTGCTCTTTTCACGTTTAGCGGAACAATCGAACGGGAACCATCGATTGCTGACAGAAGCATAGGTTTTCGGTCAGAAGTTCAGAAGTCTCGGCCCTGCGATGATTCTCCTGGTAAAGCGACAAGATGCTGCGGTTCAGAAGCATATCATCAGCTGATCGGGGAAGGTAGACTCGTTCAGGAAAAGTTCGCGCTGAGCGTACTGTCAGATTCCACTCACGGAGCTGATCCCGTAGATCCGTCCACCAGGACCATGTTTGTGATGTCACGAGGAACTTCGCGTCCTCAAGCGATTGTTGAAAGAGGGGATAGGAAGCGAAACAATAATTGTACATATACATGCAATCGAGGAAGTCCGCGGAGCGCAAATGAAGAGACAGATAAACAGCCTATTTTAGCAATAAATCATTGGGAGTTGGTTTTACATGTGATATATGACCAGGTTTGAGGAGGGTGCACTTCCACTTTTCTTCCAATTCCAATCATTCCGCGACTGAAAAAATATCAATGTACGCCAACGAGCAATCCGAACTCGGATCGGAGAGGCTCGAGAAAATTCCTGATCGCGGATCCACGCTGTGCCTCTCCGAACTCGGAGAGGATTGCCGTAGTTTCCCTCACTCTTTGTTTCCCTAGCTTTCTGACAGAAGAACTTACGGGGAGGAGACTCGAAACTCCGAGGAAACTCGACACAATGCGTCAAGCGCTTTCCAGAGCCTTCCTTGGAGATCCTCTGCCTAGCAACCGACTGAGTATGAAGCTGGAGTTGTTGTGGGTGAGTTAGGTCGGACGGTTGGTAGGACCGACGGGCGGGCATGCGGGCTGACGTCGCGTGGTTCTTGGCTTATCAGAGAATTCTTTCATTAACATTCTATTTACCGACGAAACGCGCGTCTGCCGATCCGTCTCTCCGTACGTCCGGCTCGGAGGGCGCCACCGGGCTGGGGCTCGGGGAATAGTTGCCACAGATAATCTGCCGCCTTGCCTAGTCGCTCGCTCGCTCGTTCGTTCGCCCGCTCGAAGGCAAGCGCATTCAGAGAATCTCTCTTATAACCAGCAGACAGGAGAGGAAACAACGAGGGGTTGGAGTCCGAGCTTAATTATTTCGACGCTGCTGCCGAGGGAGGAGGAGAGAGTGGGCACTTCCGTGGAATGCTAGCGCTCCATCGTCTCCTACGTTTCCTCCAAGGAGGCAAATCTCTTGAATTTGGCAACCTCGAATCCCGCTTAGACGGCCTGCATGCCGCGCGCCCGGCTTATAATCAAAACTGAGAGCGAACGAATAAAGCGGAAGATCCCATATCCGGAATCCCGTCCGCCGTCTTGAAGTATCCTGCTTTGTTCTCGAAGTGCGCGGAACGAATTCGAGCCGTACTGTCTCCCTGGAGTGTCTAACCCCTTTTTGCTGCACTGCCTCGCACTCATTAGGGTTTGTTTTGCGGCGTCCTGGGCCGTGCGGGGGAACCGAGGCGACGGGGTGAGTCTCGTCGCGAAACGCTCTTCCAGGATCGCCCTCGCTCTGGAGGAACCTGTAATTTTAGCTCCTGAAAAAATTCTCGACTGGAGGAAGTGGTGCACTCTGCGCTGTCACACTCGCCTTCTTCCCGTTGGAATTACCTCTGAGTGAGTGGAGTAAGCCGTGATAAAGATTTAACACGTTTCTCGATCAAGGGGCCTCCTTGCGCATCGGGTCCCGCTCGGGTAAAACTGCCGCTGTATTGCAGCTTATGTGTATTCTGATGTCCAGGAACACCCCTACACAACGCTCAAAATCCTTTCCATGAAGACGTCTTTTGCTGCTACTGCTGTTCCTATCGTTGTTATTGTGCTCCGGGGACCGATTCCCATACTCCAAAGTCTGCCGTAAGAGTTTGCAGCCGGCCTCTCGTTCGAATGAGAATGGCGGATGGGGACGGGTGTTCTCCTACTGCTGAGACTATTCAATGGTTTCGCGCGACAAACCATGGAGACGAAGGAAAACAATGCGTCTTGTCGAGCCTCCGCTCGAAAACGAATTCGGGTATAAAGTATGGTGTTCCGCGGGAATCGAGCCAAGGGATCGACATGTAGAAAATCGCAGATAATCGTCCCCGGTCTCACCCCTTGCTTCGTTGAGAGCCTGACTCTAACGTTCTGCCTGTCCGTGAGAAGGTGTTACTCCTATGGACGCGTCCCCAGGAATGATTTCTCGAATAGCAGATTCGGGTCAGGAAGATCCGCCAACATTCCACATCGATTTTTCCTGACGGAAACCCTTACGGAAACCCTTACGGAAACCCTTACGGAAACCCTTACGGAAACCCTTACGGAAACCCTTACGGAAACCCTGACGGAAACTCCGATGGGAAGCCTCACGGAAATTCTGACGGGGACTCCAACGGGGACCCTTCCGGCAGCCCCTTCCCGAGATACAACCGCGCTCGGATGTCGCTCCTGCGCCGTGTCAAGAAGCGGAACTCTACACGGAGCGCTGGACGCGTGAGGCATCCGTTCCAATCGCGCAAGGCTCCGAGGATCGTTGAGCCGTTCATTCGATCTCTGGGCACAGACGGCGTCTCGTCGCCAAGATCCGCTCTCCATGTCAAACACATATTGTTTTTTCTGGAAGGTTTCCCTCTTACGTAAGTAGCACTATCTGGGCGAAAACTGCAGCTCGCCTATCACCTCCGTAAGCGACATAATAGACTAAAGAAAGCCGCTCGTTTGAAGAAGGATTGCATCCCCTTGAGTCTGAGCTCCGCCGGACAGGATCTCCAGGGGTCAATGCTTCAACATTCGATGTTCCGATTCGAAATGTTCAAGTATTTCAGGGTGAGGAGCGCCGCAGCTCCCCTATCGGGTGACCGGACGGGGAGGATCCGGGACCGGCGATTCCGGGTGCGGTCTCGCATACCTCGAGGGGCATGCTCGTCCATATTGCAGGGCTCCAGGTGTGGAGGACTCTCTGCAGTGCCATGAAGAATCCTCTCGGATGCCTCTCCCGGAAAGAACGTCAAACTGTGTCCGGTCATCCATGTGGCATGGTAGCAATCGAAGGAGACAAACCGTGTCGAGAATGATCGAGCATGTGGCCCGACACTTTCTGAGAATGCAAAAGAGCTCCTCCAGGATCACGGTACTCCAGGCGGAAGTCACAAGGAAATTCGACTCGATAGAGTGGCTTCGGTTTCCCGGAGTCGTCACGATTCAACGAGGCAGCGCCGAGTCACTCGCGTCACAATCGGTCCCATGTGTGAGCTTCACGACGCTCTCCGCGCGGCTGCTGCTGCGCCGACGAGGAGAACTCCTGGGTGATAATTTTATTCTGAGAGTAATGACCGTCGATTCTCACAGTCAGTCTCGAGTCGAAATACTTGAAGAGCTTCTAGCAGGCCGTGACGTTCGTGACGGTTCCGTCTGTGTCCTCCTTCCTTCCTTTCACTCGTTTTCGAAGGGTTAAGGTGACCATGATTGTGACGACTTCTAACTTTTCCGTTTCAGTCGGGCATTCTGGGGAATTCCTCTTTCCAGTGAATTCGGAAACCAAACTCGTTTTCCTCCCCTGCTCTTGTGATTAATAGCGCTGACTACAACGAAACCGATCGTTTCAAGGAACGAGTGATGGACCATAATTATCTCGTTCAGAAAAGAGCTCAGGAACCGAAGGAACCGGTGCTCGAATTCGATAACACGGGTCGTTACTGCTTCCGAGGGAAGAGCACACTGTGGATCACGGCCCGCCGCTCGAAGAGCAGTTTCTGGATCAGATTCTTTGAAATGGTAACATTCGTGTCGAGGATCTGTCTTCTGGGCTGGTCCGTCGCTTCTTGACTGATTCCCATCGGAGCAGGATTCGTAAAAATTCTTCGAAATGCCGAAAAAGGAATTGAGACCGGAAAAAGATAAAATTCAGAGAATGAACTCAAGATTCGGCACGCGCGTCTTCCCAACTTACGTCGCATCGTTCGAAGGGGCGGGCTCGGCCGATACTCAGTTCAACATCATCGTTTTGCTGAGGTCAAAGCATCGCACAGCTCATTGCTGCGGAGAGACCGTGATTTTTCCGGGGAGGTGTATCCAATCGTACACTTGGTCTCCCTGTCACCCAGGCTTATCCACCTGCAGCTCTTGGACCCAAGGAAAACTTCCAAACTGCCCGACGGTCAGAGACAACTATCGCTTGTCACTCCATAGGCAATCGGTCTGTGGTAGATAGGCCTTTCGGTACAGCAATTGACAGAATTTTTGTTCTGTGACGAATTCACAATGATTAGGCAAGCGGGCAAATAATCTTGGACCATTATCTGCGGCACGTTGAGAACGGAACTTACTTCGACGCTAGAATGTCGAATAGCAGCGACAGAAACGATTCGAACGAGTGAGGAGGCGAGCGGGCTAGTTTCCGAGAGCACGGACCACCGCTGTCAAGAGTGCGGACGGACGAGCGTTGAGGTGAAGTGAGAAAAAAAACAGCGAATGGCGGGGAAGGCGGCGGAGGCTCATTTGGTATTCCTCGTCGTCCCATTCCCGTGTCTGTCTTCGTTCCTCTCCGTTCCGCTGCGGCGGCGCGTCCCCGCTCCTGTTGTCCTGACGTTCATTCCGCCGAACCTTTTTCCTACCGCTGCGTTCCTTTGTTCTCCGGCCTTAGGGGCAACATACAGCGCTCCGGGAATGGCTGAAATGGACAAAAACTAAACGGACATCTGCACGGCTCAAATTATTTTCGTCAGAATTAGACGGGAGAATTTTTCCCCAGGAATCGATCCGCTCTTAGCACAGACTGAGGGCCTTTCTCCAAGTCACACTCGCATGCATGCCAGAATGAACTACTCCGACTCATCTTGATCTCACTCTGACTGAGTCTGTATCATTCCGTTGAGATTCTCTCAAGCAATGAAATCAGGAGAGAATATCCGAATGTCTCGTGAATCCGATGAGATCCTCCAATACATTAGGAGCTATAACAGTGTGCGATACGGCGGTTCCTGACAGAATATCATATCGGTCCGATGTCCCACCGAATACGCATGAATCTGAGTGAATATGTTTGCATCTAATCGATACATAGTTGAGCCGTTGAGCCAAGCTCGGTCTTCTCTTCACGCGGTCACGCTCTACAGATATCGAGCAACTCGTTTTGAGGCATTCGAATTCAGACGACATGCATCGCAGTCGAGATATCTGTCTTCTTTTGGTTGAGGTGACACCTCCACATTTCTCAGCAGAAAAAATATAATGAGAACAGTATCAGAGCCCCAGTGACGTTATAGCCAGAAACTAGGAATCGGATCCATATCGCTTACGTGGAAGCGGTATTTTATGGCGGTATTACGTCGACCGGATTTTTACGGGTCGGAATTCCGTTCACCCCGATTTTCGGTCTTCCTGTCTGTCGCTCTGCATGATGTCTCCTTTCTCATTAGTTCCGTGGCTTGCTGCATTCGGGCATTCTGCTAAAGGAACACAGGGAGCTATCAATCGTCCTCGCCGGAATATGCGTGAAGAGCCTCATACAGGATCGGATTTTGGGGAAACTTGACGGAGCCATAACGAATACAGGACGAATCGAAGGAAAAACCAGAACGGAATCTTGAGTGGTTCCTAATTCAGTCACCTGAATTTCTGGCACTCGAGAATGATTGATCGAGATCTGCCATCCGACGACCTCTGGGTGAATAATAAAAAAACGAATCGTTATCCGTGAAAATTAGAGAGCTCCGTGACTTCAATCTGGGGAATCGACTGTCCAGAAAACGTTGTCAGACGGACCTACCAACGAGAAAGAAACAAACTTATACTACGGAAAACTTGAGAAGTGAAACTTTTGACTGACTGAATGTGTGAGCGAGCGAGCTAGAAAGGGAACAAACCGACATTCTGCCGGTTGTCGAGCTCAAGCTGGAAGGAACATTCCGAGGAGCCGAAATGATGTTCGTTTGTTCTTTGTGCAAACTTCAACAAGTGTTAAGTGCTGAGAAACTCACATCTTGATGATTCATTCTCCCTTTTAGTCCTCTGGATGACTGGGGCACGGGCTAGATGGTCGGAATCCTGCTAACTGTCTGCGAGACTAGTTCTGACGACTTCTATGTATTTTTCGCTTATCCTCCCGGGACGCCATGAAGATGTCCCGAAATGCGCGCGCGCTCGGGCGCCCGACACTAGACACGCCATAGGATTCTAAGCTCTTGCCTCCAATGGACCGCAGTATTCAACGAGAGTCGAGAGGAGAAGAAAACATGGCACAAGCTTCAACGCATTCGATTCGAAGGAGGCATACCCAGAGCAGCGAGTTTTCAGCTGATCACCAGATCATGAGTCGTGATTAGCTGGAAGCAATTCCCTCCGAATATTTTGATATCGGGGCGCCAGCGTGACGTCAGCGATGAGGCACTCCGGTCAAGCCTTTATACACCCTTTAATTTCCCAGAAAGGTTTGTAGGCCAAGAGAAAAAAGCGCAGAGGCGGCAGCTGAGATGGTTTCGCGTTCGATGGCAGCTGCTGCTGCTTGAGGTAAGGGAGGGGGCTCTGGATTTCCCCTCCATTTGAGCTTTCGAAACAATCAAAGGGATAGACAGGTAATTGTTGAACTGAGCGTGTTCTATGCGGCGACGGCCGGGTCGCCGCCCGTAATGATGGAATCGATGGCGGCGGCGGCAGCGGGTCTGCCCCCATCCTTCTGTTTCATGGATCTGTGGAGCCTCTCCGGAATTTTTGGCTTGTTGGGACTTTCTGTGGCTGTCGCTTGTAGGTCACCGGACTTCTTCTTCATCTTCGGCGCCCTGCTCCGGAATTCGGTTAAAATCCTCTTGCTGCCGCCGCTGCTGCTGCCGTAGCTGCTAACGGTGCCCTTTCTCGTGGACGTTCTTCTCTCAATCGTCTTTCCTACAAATGGACGTCAACGAGGATTTAAAAAGATCGACCGAGTGGCCTGAGGCTTGAACTCGACTTTGTTGTGAGGTGCGTGCTGTTCCGTCAGTCAATTCCTTTTTCTGCTCTTCTGACTCACACTCCGAATCAGCTGTTACTGTTGCGCAGCGGCCTTTGGCGCTGAGACCGTGCTCGGCGCCGGCCGGTGTATAACCTGGAAACACTGCAAAATCAAGTCTCCGAATACAATGCGCGATTCGACTTTCCTTCCCGGATATCGGGAATTGGTTCTTTTTCTAGTGTTTTTTTTTGTTGTTCAATTCTTCTCCGACCCGGAGCTTGTTTCGCTGCTCCCTCCTCGCTGCTCTCGCTGGCCCAGGAAGAGATTGCACGTACACTCGATCTCATTCCTCTGGAGCATCCTCGGTTCTCGCTCTTCTAAGGGGATATGCAGACAGAGCGAAGTCCCGGCCCTAGGGGCCCGTTCTGGTGCGAATGGGAGGTGTCCATGAGTGCGAGTAAAACTCGAGTTCATTGCTTCGGAGTTAAAGTCTTCTCCTTCCTTGCAGAATACTCTCAGTGCAGCTCCAATCAATCTTCACCAATCAAAATGCGTCCGACATACCACGCGGTCATGGCTCTGGGCTTGCTGATGCACACCGTTCTGGCGGGACCGATTATTGAGTCGAAAGAGGACAAAAGTATCGTCACCGGAAGGGCGTCTATGCTCGGGAGGTGAGTTGGAATGGCTAGGAAACTTTTTCGATTTTCCCCCGAACTGGATCTCATTTTACTTAAAAGTCCGAATTATTCACGGAACCATCTTCGGTGCATCCTTAGGATGGGCGGAATAAGACACCAGCGCACCAGAGCGTTGAATCGTCCAGGGGTGGCAGGTTTTTATTGTTCTCCTAGACAATTACCCACGCAGAAATCAAGGGGGAAGCTCTGAAGATTGGCGTGTTATTATTTGACGATGAAAGTCTTCTTCCTGATCGTTACACGATCCAGTTCATCCGAAAGCGAGGGGAATTTTTTTTCCCTGGAAAATGCTCAGGGCAGTGGCTTCGAGTTTTCTGATCGGCGGCGGCCCTTCAACAACAAATGGGAAGAATTCGCATTGCGATGCGCTGAACCAGGCCACGCGCGTATGTGTTTTTGGGTGGAAATAGAGTAGAGTATTATTCATCCGGTGTCAAAGTGTCATTGGCCCACAGGGTTCACAGTTTTGCGCCGGTGTCGTAATCTTCTTTCGGGAGAAAAATTTTGAACCGGTATTTGACGTCGTACTGCCGGAGTCTGGGTCGCGAGATGATCTTGTCGCTCAATAACGACGAATGGATATTGGATCAATCTTCTTCTTCTCTCGTCTCGTGTTTATCAATGTATAATCTCACGCTGCTTCCACCAGAAGTCATCGGGCTACCGAGGTCTATACAACCCGCTGTCTTCTGCCCGCTTTCTCGTGAAGCAGTTTGTCAGTCAGTCACTCAGTCAGTCCAGCATTCAAAATCACGATCGACACACTATCATCCGCGTCGCTTCTCCGAGATGATTCTCGAGATTAAGGACCTCTTGGGCGATGCAGCGGAATCGGTGCCGGCTCGACCGCTCAATATTGAGCAGCGAAAAGTCAAACATCCCAAGGAACCGTTATTGGCTGCTGCTGGTGCGCTGCACCGAGCTGTCGCCGCCGCTAGAGCCGAAGAAATAGCGGTGGTTGCATCGGCGACTCTACTCTCTCGTGCGTCAATGAGTCGCCGATTAAGTTCAACGACTGGCGGCCACGATGAGTTTCGGAGGAATGCAGAACGCCATCAGAGAATTTCGTCGCACTTCATCCAAACAGGCATTTTCTCGCGTTCTCTCCCGCGTGCCGACGCCACGAGCGGGAGATCCGTCTCCTCCCGGAGCTGATTGCATTTATTGAATAATGATCGACACGTCCGAGAAGGGCCGCCGGCGTTTCCGTCGACGGCGTCACGCGAATCTCTTCCAGCCCCTGACAGATGCTCAGTGTGGGAATGTTTCTGGGGAACGGTGAACTGATCACAGAGAGAGGTTGTTCGGCTCCGACAGGAAGTCTGGAATACTCATGCCATTTCCCGTATTTCAGATTCGAACCAATTGTGAACTCAGTCGTCGTGCCTTTCCTGGTCGCGACTGGAGTCGTTTCCCTAGTCAGAATGGTTCCCGGAGTGGTATCATCTCTGCCAGGTGAGCCTTAGAATCAATCTCCTCCGCTCGTTTCGAGCTCACTCAAGGGTCCTGGGGTAACTTATTAGCATTCCGACGCACCCGGAATCTCTGAATTAGGAATTCTTATCGCCAACAGGCATGTTCGGATTCGCAAAACGTACCGGTTACGAGGGCGGCGACACGTACCCGAAAGAATTCTACGACATCATGACAATGCTCGACAACGCCTCCGTCAAATACGGTCAGCACGTGACGGACCCCAACGCAATCCAGGTAATTCGTGATAGGAATTCATCCGTGTGTTTTTTCTCACGCTCTCAGATATCTACCTTGTCCATCCGAGAAGTTTACGAGCGAAGTCTTATCTTCGCGATTCCGTTGGAGCGCTTCATGCGTTTGTTGTTCCTACGTTTCTCGAGCAATGAATGTTGTTGGGCTCCTGTCCGGGAAAGCTCCGACGACGAGACTGGAACTCTGAGCCGGCGCTCATAGATAAAGCAAAAAAAGCGGCAGGCTCAGTCTATCGAGCGATTTCGTATCAAATGCGAATTTAGGCATTTAGAAATGCATCGAGTTCTGCAGGGGTCACTTCGCTGAGCCCTCTCAGATACATTCAGTCACGACGCAGGAACCGGTCGAAGAAATCGTCCAAATTGGTTATTCTCTCTTCTTCATCTCCGACTTCTCCGTTTCTTCTTCTTTTTTTTGGTTGAATGTACGGAGAAGGCGACTTTGCCCTCGTGACCTAAATTTCTTCTCACTGCCGCGGCTACGACGGCCTGTGCCGCCGCCGCTTCTGACGCTGCTAGCTAGAGTTAGCGTCATCACGGTTACGCAACCGCCAGAGAAATTCGATGCGAGATGACACCGCTCACTTTATCATGAAATCCCCATTACGATGGGAGTGCCGGTAACTGAGTCAGTCAGTCAGTAACACAGCGCGAAGCGGGCTCGCCGGCGGTGAGCCGCCGAATCGGTCGCTGCTCACTCACTCAGACGCACGGACGAACGGACGATCAGTTGATCTTGACTCGGGACATTCTCTGGACTTTCCCGTTTCTCTGGTGTCCCATCATGCAATTCATCACTTTTCCTCCCGTACCCGGCAATATTGAAACGGGACCGGAGCGATCGGTCGATGAGCCGCGAATGAGCCAAAACCACTATAGCCGAATGAATCCTTAAAGCGACTCGATATTGACGTGCGTATGCGCATCGACCGACAATCCGTCGAATTGTTGACCCCAGTCAGGGGCCATTGTGAGAAAGATGCGTTCTGTCCAGGTTCTGTCCAGGTGCCCCAACGTCGGCAGAACGCTCCGCGTATCTGGGATTCTGCCGGAGAGAATTTCCGCCGAAGTGTCTTACCACGAGTCTCTTCGTTCGCACAGCCGGCATGCAGTGCGGCTCTCTAGCTGGCCGGCCGGCTGGCTGACCGGACGTCTTGCTAACACGGCATTTGCGGCCGATTTGCCAGCTCGCCAAACACTCACACGATTCGAGCTGTTAGCTGAACATCACGACATGGGCCCGTTATCATTAGATGCTAAGTTTAGTTGTGCGTCTCGTCGTATCCCGTAAATATGCCACTGTCCTAAATTCCATTGCGAGTCAGTCGGTTAGCCTGTTGCGCCTGCCGCTGCCTAGCCGAATCGTCAGAACGAAATCGACTGTGGTGAAAACACACTTTCACACGGAAACTTCTCTTTAGTTCTCCGGATCGTAGTCCATCGCTGTCTCGGGAAGAAAGCATTCGACCGACTACAGAAACACTTTAGGTCACTGTGTTGGGAGTCCCAGACGAGCCACCGGTCGGCCACCGTTAGCACCTCAGCTATTATCAATCATGCATGGAGTTACCGAGGAGCTATCGGTCCGTTTCTGCTTCGACCGTCCGTGCGTGGCTGCAGCCATCGTTCTGGGTTTCGATAAAGCGTCAGAAACGTTGGAGAAAACGCCGCCGTTCGAACTTCCGCCTAACTCGCGATGACGACCGTTCCGAAGAGTTATGTTTTTAGCATGTCATATCCGCGCCATGCGTTCTTCCGAAAAGCCCGCACTCACGTGTGTCCATTCTGGAAACGGTTGACCAGAACGGCAGACCGGCCGGCAAGTTGGCTGGGATTCCAATTCATTCCGACACGCGTAGCGCTGAATCGACGCCGGCTCGGGGAAAGCTTTTGTTCTACGCATCATTTGGACATTTCCCAGAAGAACAATATGAAGTAGGTCTCTTCTCTCTGTTCGGCCGCTCAATACGCTCTCGCTGTAGATTGATGGAACCAGTGACTGCCTGCTGTCGACTTCAGGAGTCTGTGTTACAGTCGTTAAAAATTTCTGCGAATGTCATATCCTCCTCGCGCGGCTCGACGGCGGATTTTCCCTCCCTGTATGCGCCGTCCAGGAAAAACTGCGAGAATCATGGTCACCGATTGATTGAGTGACTGATTGGTTGACTGACTGAGTTGATGCTCCAAAGATGTCCCTCGGGCACTTGGCCCGCTGAGACGCGCCGTACCGTTCCATATTGGTTGATGCATCTCGGTAGCCTTCCAGAATTGAAAAAAAAATAGCACCGCAATTCTGTTCTCTCTTCTCGGATCGATCACGACTTGCAATCACGGGTTTTTCCAATCATTCCAGCGTCAGCCGGTCGCCTCCGCTAGCCAACAGTACCAATACCAGTACCAGCAGTACCTCCAACAGGCCGCCCAAGCCCAGGCCGCTCAACAGCAAGCAGCTCAGGTCAGAGTCGCAGATTCTCCCGACATCGGCAGCGTGTCGTTGTCTGTGACATCGCGAGAAAATTGCTTCGTTCTCAATCGTAATGATTTCAGGTCGCCCAATCCCAGAGCGGTCAGAAGACGCAGGCCACCGCGAGACAACATCAGGGTTGAGCGTTTCGTCGATTGCCGTGATCATCACCTCATGTTCAGCTTCAATGAAATTTCGGAGTCTGAATGCCTCAAGCTGTCTGTCGAAAATTCGTTCTCCCATTTCTGAAACCCGCGCGCGTTGTAGACTGCGGCTTCATCGGCGGCCTCCCAGAGCCAACTGATTCGGACATGCTACGAGCCAGCCAACAAGAGCAGAGGAGGGGGACAGAAAAAGATTTCATTGAGCCCCGGAAACGATGGCCTTACCCTAGTAAAGAATTGTACTGTCCGGGCGCGAACTTTTCGCGGCTCGACTCATTTCCTCGTGTAGATACCTCAACAAATTGCCCCGCACCCTCCGATGTTGTCCGATGTCAAGTCGCTCCGCTTGTGTATATACTTGTACTCTCATCTGGATGGGGAAGAAAAAAGCCTCGAATAAGTCACGTCGAGCTTCGGATTCTTAGCTCGCAGCTGCTGTCCTTCCATCTGAATTGCGCACCTATTTATTTTTCACGGAACACTATCTACGGTGATTCCCTCTAGTCTTACACCTCAACCACTTCTGCTTCCGTAGTCGAGCGTGGGATTTTTTTCTGATCCGATCCCGTTCGATCAAAACGCCCCACGACCTCGACTGAACAACTCATCTAGCTAGAGGCATTTGATAAAAATTCATCCTATCTTCCCTTTCTTCTCATTCAAATGCCGGTCGGCGACACGTCTTCCTCGCCGGAGACAACCCACCTAAGCTATTGCTCAAGCTAACAAAATAGAAAAAAAATCTCGATGAACATCTCTGATGTTCAGAGTTCCGAAGCTTTCGCTTCTATCATCAATGGATCCTGAAGCTGAGCATCACCTTAACTTATTGCCTATTGCATGATACATGAAAACTCTTCGACGCAGGAGCCACAAGTATTCGACGAGATGAAGGGCGTCCCGATATCACATAATATTCATAATATTTCATGCTTTCCATGATCACATCTATACATGGCAGACCTAGAATCATGTAGAACTCGCACACATTATCAAGTAAATCAATAAATGATGTGTCTCAATTTCTTCTTTTTTCTCTAGTCTCGACACAACCTTTTCCCGACGCAGCTCGACGAGCCCGAGCTGAGTCCCCGCTGTTCAGTCCCGCTGAACTAAGCATTCACCAACAGAGACGTGCTGAGTCTCGGGACTACTCCTCCAAATGGGATCAAGAGGATATTCACAAGTTCTCAACAGTGAGGAGACGTCGTCGGATGGTTTCATCGGCTTCACAAGCCGCAATAATAGCACCACCTCAACTGCCCCATGTTGATCCCTCGCTACCCCGGACAAGCCAACCGTTGCCTGGTTTTTACCCCTACTCCCTTCGTGCGGTCCTGCCTCGCCCGCCCGCTGCTTTCGTTCTTCCCCTTCTTCGCTCGCAGCGAGTTCCTAATGGAAACAAGTGCAAGATGTTCCTTCGTTGTCGCTCCATTAGTTCCGCCTCTGTCTTCCCTGCCCACAGCTTTTCCCGAAGGAAAAAGCAGGACAGCGGCGAAATTAATGGTTGTAATTAGGTTTCTTGGTGGGCTAGCCATCCGGCCTCGGGCGAGCGTATCCTTGGACTCCTAGTACGCGCACAACCTCCGTTCGAAATCGTGTAGGCGGCGGCGGCGGCAGCGGCCTTCTCCACCTGAGATCCGGGAAGTCCTCCGGCGACAAGTGATCTCCTCACCGGAGTCCGCTTCGCGGGGGAGAATCTGCTCGCAAGCCATAAATCGTGATATCTCGACTCACATCTGCCAAAAAGGGAAAGGCCCCGCGGTCGGAAGACAGGGACCGGGCAGGATTTGTAGGCACGGAATCGACGTGACCGTCTCCTGTTTCCTCTCTCCAGCCGTTTCATGAGAATTCTTGCTGGGAGCGGATAAGGATAGCTTCCCGTTCCAGGTTCAAGGCCTTCGGGACGGCCTGCGCTGGTCGGACTGTGAAAATATAATCGATTGTTCTGCAGCGTGTGCCGGGCCAAATTATTCCGCCTCGATACGATACTCCGGAACGAACCAACAGTTCGACGCTGCGCGAGCAGGCGGAGGACGGCGACGTTCAGTGTGTATTGGGAAAGTGGTTCTCCAAATAAATTATCAATAGCCGCATGAGTCAGGGTGTCCCGACATCGTGTACGTGTTCGAGGATCCGGTACAGACACTCGTTCGACGTCGAGAGGGATTGGGAACTTGAGACTCCACGAGAGCATCCGCAGCCAGATTTTCCAGAAACCGGTCCCACGTGTTTACGAAGCAATTGAGCAGTCAGAAAACGTCGTTGAGGCCGTCGAGAAAACCAAGGAAGGAACCAAGCCGGAGAGGGATACGAATTGAGAGAAGAAAACCTTCACGCAACATAAACCCAGCGCAAGCTCGGAGCGACACAGCCAGCGACAGCCCCAGTTCTCGGTAGAACGAGACGGGTTGAGTCGGTCGGGCATCTGGCTCGTAGTTGGAAGCCCATTGTCTCAGTCGGAAGGGGGAGTCTTATCGGAATGGGCTCTCGATTTGCTGACCCGTACGACGACGGTCGCTTGGCGCGAACTCTGGGACGCTATATCAGCTTTTGGCGTCGCACAACAGAAGAAAGACCTCACGCCATTAGATGCCAATACCTCTCGAAGTGGCCGCGCGCGCCAGAAAGCGTTTGCGGCTGCCCTTAGTCGCGAGCGAAGCTCCAGGAAAGGTGCATTGACATTTATACCGAGACTTCGAGTCTCCTCCCGGAATGTCAGACGGTCCTTTGATCCATCGCAAATAGCCGCTTGACGGGCTAACGGGCGGGAGCGAGGACTACGATCGGCTATCTGAAACGGAGAGGAATAAAATATTCGAGAATGAGGCGACTCGCTCTCGACGAAGACGATCCTGCGTCGCTCCACTCGATGTGAATGGTGAGCTTTTGACAGGAGCTCAGTCCCCAGTGGGCAATCCGATAAATCAATGAATTCGCCGAAGGTCAACGCAGAGAGAGGAGCTGTATCATTATCAGGGTCTCGGACTTGAGGTGCATTCACTATTGAAAAACAATACCAACACTACGATCGGATCGCCGCGCCTAGTGGGACTAATATTGGCCGGAGAAGCTTAAACTTTGTATTTCCCTCTTCTTCGACATCTTCCTCCTCAGCGCGGTGGGGGAGTGATCCCTGCGACTGGCGGAGTTCCACGAATTCGCGGACGTAGTACGCGGTTAGAGCTCCCGGGAGATACGGGAGGGAGGAAAATTTCTCGTGTTTCTTCCGCAATGCCCAACTACGTTATGGAGAGGAGGACAAAAGTCTCCGAGCTGTGAAAGCGGTAGCGAATACGTGGGATGAATCCTCCGCACGAGCCATCGAATACGCCATAAGCGGCAGACGACGAGGGAGCATGCATGCATAGCTCGAGGATAGAGAAGCTCCGAGACTCAGATGCGCTGCCGTGGGCGCATGCGTTTCCTGCGGAAGTTGAGCACAAGAAAAGACAGTCGGCTGTGGCTTCCGACGAATATCCGCTGAACGACGAGAAGAGGACGCCACTCGTTGTTCGGACCGTCACGCAAGAGCGCGGGGAGTATCAGCGGATCGTCCGCGCACGGCGAGATGCCACGCTCAACAGGAGAGGAGCGTATAGGTACTCACAGGTTGTACTCCCGTGCTCTCTTCTTTTCCGGGTGTTCTTCTTCTCGTCTTTCATCTCATTCGCGGCCCTTGTTCTCCTTGGCCGTCGGAGCGAAACGTAATTTCCTTCCTCCAGGCGGTGGCTTCGAGACGGCAAGCCACTGCTCCTTCCCGCGCACGGCCCGTTGTAACACTCGGTCGTATGGGAGCGTAGGCGTTCGGGAAACAAATAAATTCCACCGAATATTGATAATCAGCCTCTGGTTTCAAGACAGAAGTACGGCCTCTCTCGTTCGCTGCGGGGATTCTCAAAAATCGTCGGGAAGCGACTTGTTTGTTGCGGATAATAATAATGAATAACGCTCGCTGAGCTCTCGGAGGAAGTGTGAGAAAATTGTTGGAGAAAGACCATTGGGGTCACTAGAGTGAACGTCATCACGCGGAGCAAAACGCGGAGTGCGGCGCTTACGCTCCCGGAACTGGCAGATCACAGTGGCAGAGGCCGACCCCAGAGTGACCTATATCCCTGAGAAGATCGCACTCGAGTGGACCGCTGACCGAGACGCTCGCTTATTGCCCTGGATTCAAGGTGTGAGCATTCCTTCGTGCTGCGCAGTCACAACGAGCGGCTGCCCATTCTCTTCATACAGATACAGAAACAAAGAAAATAGCGAGGCGCACCACTCGGATCCTACAACGGGGAATCCGCCAAGTTGGAAAAGCATGAATTGAATCTTTGAATAACCCCTTCCAGAAGCACCTCGATCTGTCCAGCTCGTCATTTTTTCAGTGAGTCGATTCCGTTCACCCTGGACGACCCAACAGAGGAGTTTGCCACCTCGCCGAGCCAGTCGGCATTTGCCCACCTGTTGTCATGGATGATAGACGTCAACATTATCTCCACTCCAAATAGAATGGAGATCGTAGCTCGGCTGCAAGCATATCAGATCGAGTGCTCGGTATCCTTTGACGGCGCGGCGGTGCGTAATACCAGAGAGTTTCGGGCATTGCGATTCCGTCGGCCAGAGACAGGCGCCCCTTTCGATATCAGTCCGAAAAGGTTTTCTCTTCTGCCGGGTCCCCCAGATCGAGAAGAACTCCGCCATTCCGACGGACTTACGATCGCAGACCCAGGCGATCGAGTCGATTGGAGCCTGTTGATTCGGTATTATATGTCATATCCAAGGTTCGACGTATCTCAGGGCTGTTCCATGGCCAGCTCGATGTCCACCCGCTAACCGAGACGATAAGTCTCGAGAAAGCGAAGCATGTTTGTCGAGCCGAGGTCAATGGGAAATGTCAGCGCGAACATCGGGGAATCGCTCCTTCGCTCCTCGATAGGGCAGCTCGTGGCCAGGTAGTCCATTGAACGCTGCCTGACCGCTCGGTTATTCTCACCCGAGCCGCGCGTGAGGAGTCACCGGCTTGAGTTTAAAGACCTCCGAAGCAAGCCTCCATACGAGTTCACCATGCACCGTACTGTCAGACAATCATATCATCATCACTTCCGTTCATGTGAAGCCGCCTAACCGACCGCTCAAAAGATACGCCTATCCGCTCCGATGGCTCCCTTCGCTCAATCCCGAAAAATCTTCGTGGTGTATCAGAATTTCCCTCCCGCGCGTATCATTGGGCATTCTGCTTGTCCACGTGTTCATTGCGTGGTGCAACGCCGCGCCATGTCGCTCCGGCAGGTAACGACCTCTCCCCCACGTGAGAGTTCCTGCTGGTTCAGATATTCCTGAGGAGGTTCCGAGAAGGTCTCCGAAGAGACGGAATCGGTTCGAGCCCGCTGCTTGGAAAAAAACAGGCTCTGAAATGTGGAGCTCATCCGACTCAGTCAGCTCACCGGTCCGCCCGCTGGGCTCGACTGGGAGGTGGAGCGCGATCTCCTGAGTAAGTGGCGGCCCATCCAGCGCGACACGTCGATCATATGGGTAATTCACGTCTCGGCATTTACTCCGTGGTTCCAGCCCTGCGGAAACTGAAGGATGCCTGTCATTCTTCTCGTTCGAAACTATGCGAGACCTCTCGATTGTGCTCTCGAGAAAATTCCAGCGATAGCCAGATTCCACTGTCTGCCAGTGGGACGGCTTCGGGTCACGAATGCCATCTCCAGCTACTGTAACCTTGCGTGGATCTTTAGGCCGCGCCGTGGAGGTCAAGGCCATGTTTCGTTCACTATCGAAAACCATGTCGGCGTTCGGCAAAGGCGACGATCACTAACGGCCTTGTGACGCGTGGTGACGAGATTGAACGGAGTCAGAAGTGAAATCGAGAGTGTGTTGATCACCGAGAACCACAGGCGTAAGCGCCGAGAAGAAACGAACTCGATCTACGCCGAGGCTTTCGATGCGTGTCGCCATCGTTCCATTCCCTCCGAGAATAAGTCCCCAGACCGAGGGAGTGCCCTTCGGATTATAGCCCCAAGAATTAATCCTCTTGGGGTTGCCACCAGGTTTCTTCCAGGTCTCTTCTCTGCATCGGTTTCAAACCCGGAGCGGAGCTCCTCATCGTTCGGCTGAAAGGTGTCGGGGCTTCAGGAATCATCCACCTGCTCTGGAGCGGAGACCATTGACTTCATTCGTTTCGGCACTTCACGTCTACGTACGTTTGAGTGCGAGGGAATACCCTCGTCGAGAGGATCGGTGATCTCGGGAATTTCTCCAAGACCTGTATGGCATCGGACATGCTCCGCGAAAACAAGCCCCGATCGGCGCACTTCGGCTCCGATTTCAATCAAGGCGAAGGTTGAACTCTGGTCCTGGTGGAAGAGCAAAATGCCGATTGTCGCGTCGAAGGCTGTTATCGAGCCAGCAAGATGAAATCTCACCGAATGGCATTCAAGACTTTGCTCTCTTTCGACGAGAAACCGTCGGGAAAATATTAGTTGTGCAAGGAGTTGTGTGCAAAGTCCTGTGACCGTCAACTTCCCTGCAGCGACTCATCTAACCGTCCCCTAGCAAGCACTTTCGTTCTGGTGTAATGAGCATTCTCCGCGCGGTCGTAATCTATGGAGCTGTAATCTCACAATCGAATCCACAATCGAGGAATCGTCTGGCTGGAGGATGATCAGATTCGATTGGCCCGGACAAGTCCGGTATTCGAGGGGTTGCTCGTGACTTGCTGAAATTCCTCGCTGGATCGGAGTCGAGCAATTTATATTATTGAGTGGCACACATTCATACATTCATATTGAGTGGTACGAAAACACTGAATATGGAAAGGAGGCGAATCGAAGTTCGTCGATCGTTTAGAGGAGCCAGCGAGCCTCATTGGTGAACGAGTCTGGAAATTGTATATTCGCGGAATCGGCGTTACTCGACAACATCGGCCCGAAATAGACAAATGCACCCGTAACGCTGTTCCCTCGAAGCTATATCGAGAAGTAAGCTACTGATGCGATTTGGTCCGTAGTTCAAAGGCCAATCGACAATCTATTTGAGAGATGCCTGAACCACGGTAGGTGTGGAAGACACGACGCTTGTCCTACGGCGTCCTCGGTGATAGACCCCTCCTGATTGGTGTTACCACGCACTGCCGATTCCATTGCGGTCTCCTACGTCTGGTCCCGTCATTTTCTGCGATCGAACAAACACGATATGGGGCCCAGCCCCCTGTGTGATCTCCGCGTCGGAGAAGACCTCTTCAGTTACATTTAGCAACACCGGCGCTCATGATCAGTACAGGTACAATGATCGGAAATAATCGAGGATGGAACGAATCTGGACATGCTCTCGATTCGCGATTCTCTAGTCTTCAGGATTTTGTGGGAAATTAACTCGAGATGGGACGTCAACTCTCGAGTTGCTGGAAATAGCTGAACAACACGTCTGTGGTTACGGAAGCGCACCGGGTACGTTATACGTGATAGTTCAGCTCCACGTGATATCGATGGAGCTGAAGCCGGAGGATGTTTCCTGAATGTAACTTCTAGACTTTGTTAAGTGCACTCTCGGAGCCTGAGCTCTGACTCGAGGATTATATCGATAAGTCAGTGCCACGAGTGAGAATTACATGCTGAGCACAGGCGTAGCCTCCCTCTGTGCTCTGGTGATCAACTTCGAAGCCTCAGAGGACAGGGATTCCCCACTCCCGACTACCCCTGAGGGAGTCTTTCCCCGACCCTCTGGGAGGAACATATTTATTCGGAGCCGGGTCAAATAATCCGTCGGGGCACTCTTCAGTATCCCCGCGGAAGGATCTACCGAGTGCTTAGTAAAGGCTGAGAGTTATCAAGTCGATCACTGGTATTGTCACGAAGTTTGGACGCACCTACTGTAATATTGGCTTCCCGGCATTCGATAATGAGTTACCGTCGCGCAATGGAAGGCCCTGTACTCCTGTACTCAAGCTCGCTCGTAAGCATTGGCGCAAATATTTTCAAATCACGGGAAAATTTCGAAGCCGGTTTGAGACCCGTTTTTTCCGATCTAGGAAACAGGTCCCGCAATTCCGAAGAAGCTGCGTAACCGCCGCATCATCGGTCGATTGGATTGAATCGTTCGTTATCTAGGCTGCCTCGCACTCGCCACGGTGAAAATAGCGTTGGGGTTGTGGAAGATGAGGGGGAGGAGCAGGGGCTCGAGTTCGAGTTCCAGAGATCGGCTGTAAGTAAATGTCCCACCCAGATTATTCCCAGAGAGTTCTTCCGCCAAATTAGCGGGAAGTTATGTCAGGCAATCGAGCTGTTGATCCATCCTACTAAAATCCTTGGAAGAGACTGCCAGTGCTTATGCTTTTGGAAATGACGTTTATTAATCCGGAAGCTTCTCGTCTCCCCCTCATCGGGACGGATAGAGCGAGCCTCGGGAGGCAATGGACAGCAAGAATAAATAAGGCTCTGAGCGTCAGCGACAAAATCAGTGATACCACCTTGGTCGGCCCATTGCGGTTGTCAATAAATAACTTCGGTCATAAATAAATGCGGTGATCGCGACTATGATATGTGTGCTTGAACAGCTAACATCGGGCATCACAGAGTACTCTCTTCTCGCCTAGTGCGAGTGGGTGAAGTCGTTCGATTGTCACAGGCGGTCAGCACCGGTCAAAACGGACTAGAAGTCGATTTGGGTCGTTTTCTGTCCCCCCAGGTAGTAGGGTAATTCCAGCTTGAGAAACTTCTGGCACCAATTCCTGACGCTCTTCGGCTTGTTGCTGTTGTCGTTGGTTTTCGGTTCCGATTCCTTGTTACAGCAGAGACTGAACACGTTTGTTGCTTTCGTGAACTTCGCGCACCTCTGACAGAGTTCCGTTACTTCACCACCGGGTAGACAATCACCCATAACTGGGACTGCGTCTGCGTCTTTGGTCAAGACGAGGAACAAGCATGCGAAGGCGAAACAAGTCGCGGGTACTGTGATTTCGGTCATCTCTACTGGTAGATGGAGGGCTTCCGATAGTCTCGCATTGAGGGGACTCTCCGCGCTTATGGCTGCTATTCTTGACAGAAAATTCCCCCTTTATAGCAAGCGTTCTCCGTCAGGGAGATGGATGCACGCGACACCTTGGAAAGGCTTCCACTTCTCTCGCCCGTGGAGAGACCGGCTCTAGACGATCGTGATGTTTTGCACCTCAAAGAGTGGGACATGAGGAACTCGACTGGCCGCTCTGGCGGCTGTACCACAGCTCTCACCATGATGGCAAATGTTTAATGGATATTTAATGATAGGCTCTGGAAAATTCAGAGCCCGAGTTCCCGGGCTACCAGAGGGATTTACAGCAAAAATCCAAGCAGCCTCGAGCTTGGTCTTGCCGCGCGTTCCCGGGTCTATTCATCTCTTGGCCATTGATTTCCCATGATCCACAGCTGTACGGTACAGCATAATATGGAGGCTCGCTAGTAGTACTCGTCACCGTGGGGAACGGGAGACAGAAACCGTAATCTTGAGCTCACGTCTCCGGATAATCTTATCAACCGATGAGGCGGATCCACGAAGCATACGCGCCCTTGTCTGTTTATGGATTTACGCGAGGAGGAGGTCCAACAGGATTCACTGACAAAAGAAGCTGGAATTTCACGTACGCTGTGTTGTGGAATGAGATGGCAGGGGCGAATTCGAGAGAAGTCGTTCCGAAAGATTCGGAATGGAATCCTGGAGCCCACGAGACTTCTGGTGCGTTTCAATGGAAAGCCAGAGCCTTCCCGTTCGAAAAACATTTTCTCATTGAATCCTCCCGGATTTTCCGGGAAAATCACGCTCGTGTTCTCCGGAGACATGACGATCATCATTGCTCTCGTTGTATCCGCTCCGGGCTTCGGCGAAATACCTGCGATATTACTCGAACGCTCGGATGAATTCAAGAATTAATGGAGATCCTCCGAATTCCTATGAGCTACTCTGAATGTTTTCAATCATCGAATCGGCCGATAAGCGATGGGAACCAAAACTCACTTACACCTGAAAAGCATACACCGACGCTGAGCCATCTCAACGGAATGTGAAAGGGTGCGTCGGTGTCTTGTACGGCTCACAGAGCGGAGTTTGAACCTCTCTATCGTGAATTGACGTCACTCCGAGTAAGCTATGACTGAATCACTTCTCGAACACTCAAAACCCATCCGTTATATCCAAAGAGGGTTCTCATCCGAGTCTACCGACCCGGAAATCAGCGTGGGGCGGGAGCTCTACAGTGGAAAAATTATTGGCATATCAGTCAACAATAAACAAGCTATCAATCAACAATGAACCGATGCCGATTGAACTTGCCATTGAGAATAATGAGTCTGTGGATTCTCATGATGTCTTATTATTTATTTATCTCTCTCACGCTTCGTCCTGGTCAGTTTAATCACCGTTGAGCTCAGCCATTCGGTCTGCTCGGTGTGTTTAAGAATTATTCGGATTCGTTCGTTTATCGATGAAAACGCTCAGAGCAGCGGCCAAAAAAAATGTTTCATCGACCATTATCTCAAGAGTAAAATATCACACCAAGCGTAAGCTGTTCTTGATGAAGTCCGGCTCGAGGTCGAGATGTAGAGCCTCGGAGAAGACTTCGAATGAAGTCAGTCTTTTCTCCAAATCCAAAAGCCATTCGCAGCACTTCTTGGCGCTTTCAGACAGCGCTTGATCGTTATTCCGGATGTACTCGTGAACGTCCTGGGTCCAGGTCTCGAGGGTCGCTTCTTTTTCGACGAGGAACATGTGACTGTACAGCCTGTCCACTAGGGCTATCATGAGCAGATATGGCTTGTAAACTCTGAGAGCTTCCGGTTCGGATGAATAAAGCTCCTGTCCGTGACCGCAGTGTCTCGCCTGACCACATTGAAGCAATCGTTCGAGGAAAGCCACGCGGTGCAGAAGCCACACCGATGGCGGTAGAACTGCGAGAGCGAGAGTCACGTAGTACATGGGACTATCGGCCTCGAAGAAGTTCTGATAAAGCTTCGGCATCTTGTATTCCAAGAATTTCCGTATGGCCGTCTGTTCGCGAGAGACCGCCCTCGCGCTTTTGATGGTGTACACAGCCAAGTGTAGAAGGTAGGGAACGAGGTGCATGTTGCTCTCTGGTCCTCCACCGCCGGTATCCTCGGAGAAGGATTTCCCGAACGCGAAACGAGTGAACAATAGTTTCAAGTCGTGGACCATGTTCGTGTGACTCCTGTCGAGCTGCGAGATCGCGTCCCTGAAGTAATGAGTTTTCAGGGCTTGCGAGAAATGCGCCTCGATCACCTGAGGACCCCACAGCGGGAGAAGCGTGTTGCATTTGGTGTTGCTGTTTTGTAAAGTCGCCGAATCCCATACATTGCGACCTTTCATGACGTTCACGGCGCTCAGATGGCAGTCGACGTGCACCAGATTAAAGTACGTCACAGTTGTCCAGCCAATGGTTTTGCAGGACGACGACGTTATTTCCTGCTCTTCGACGGCACACTTCTTCGTGAAGGTGTAGATCGCGAGAACTTTCGTCGGTTGGAGTCGGTGACCTTCTCGGCAGATGATGCAGGTCAGTCCCTGTTCTTCGTCGAGAGCCTCCATTTGGTTGAACATTGTCCCGCCAACCTTGGTGACCTGACCCTTCTCGTTGGTCTTCATCCCCAGCTCTCCGAGCTGTTTCTGTCTCATGGCCATGGCTCTCTTCTTCTTCTCGGCTCTGGTTTGTCGGCGAGCGTCTTCGACCTGGGGAAAGAGGTGCTTAGCGGATTCGAGTTCAAAGACAAGGTCCGCCTACCGATCCCGGAATCGACCGAAAATTGGAGCGAATTGTACTTTACCTGTTTCTGAACCTTCGACGTACTCTCTCGAAGAACCTCCATCAGGTTCTCGGCGAGAGATCCTACGTGCTCTTCGGTGTACACTTGTTCCAAACGATGAATTACGGGAATCGTGTTTCCGATCAGCGTCTGACTCGCTTCGTGGCCTCGGCAGAAACCGGTCAATAAGCGAACGACGAACTTCAACGACGGCTTCGCCACGAACTGCGTCCAACCGTCGGAGACAACCAGAAGAGAGCTCCTAGAATTGACACTGCATCAGAAAAGCCAACTTCGACGACCGACGAACCATCGATCCGGACCTCTCGGTCGAGCAATCAAAGGATCTAATAATCTCGGAAAGGAAATCTTCCCGACGGGGGAAAACTCACGTCGATGGCGGGGCGTTCATGTTGAGATACTCGATCGCACGTTGCAGGATGCCCTTCTGTACGAACCAATCGCGCAGTTGATGATGGAGCGGATCGGTGTCGAGACCCTGCACGAGTGCGCAGAAACATTCCATGGGCAGCTCACAGTCAGCGGGACGTTCGTCGTCGAAACGTTTGAAGTCGAGATACGGCAAGAAATGGTCCAGGAGAATCTGCATCTTCGTCTGATTCATCAGAGTCAGCGATGGAACGACGCGCATCAACGGGGTGAGCAGCGCCGGATTTTCTTTGACTCGATCCAGCAGGAACCGGAGGTCTTCATCGGTTCCGGTGTGGGCGAAGAAATCCTCCAGTCCAGTCGAGCCTTGTTTGAGAGCTTCTTGGATGACTTTTTCGATAATTTCAATTATCTGTTCGGGTATCTGTGCCTGCTTAGCCACGAGAGATGCTTTGAGGCACTTCAAGAGCACGGGGACGCACCGGAGCTTGACGAGGCATTCTCTGTTCTTTTTTATCTTTATACAGAGGCCGAGGAGTTTAAGAATGACCAAGAGTAAGGGCGTGGCTTTCTCGACATCGAGGGACCCCAAACGGTCGAGCATGACGTCCAGACCGCCGCAGGTTCCCATCACCGCCGCCAGCTTGTAGACCTCTTCGTCGTCGATCGTGGCGGAGTTCTTACTCGCCAACGAACTGATCATGTCTTCGGTCGCGTCTCCGAGAAGCCCTTTCATTCGGTATACTATCCTCATGGGATCGTCCGGGTTATTCTCAGCGCACCAGATCTTCTTGTAGACATCCTTAACCGGCAAATCGAGCGAAATTATTTTGTTGCACACCAGGAGTTCCATGCTGTTGTCGTCTTCCAGCAGAGCCACGAGCTCGCAGTCGGTGCAGATTTTGTTTTTCACGTCGCGCATGAGCGGACCGATACCGGGCTCTTTCGACGAGTACGGATTTCCGAGCATTCTACCCTGTAGGAAATCCTCTTGTTGGCTGTCTTTCTCGAGGGAGACCTGGAAGTCTTTGGCTTCGCTCTCTTCCGGATAGATGAGGCTGCACACTCGCTCGAAAATGAAAACCGGTGTGCGTATATCGTCCAGGCCGAATTTCTTCACCGTTTCGATACAGAGCTCCAGGAACGCTCTGGTGTCGCTTTCTGTCCCGGTGGTCATGTGCTCCAGGAGGAAAAGCAGTTTTGCCTGCGTGTCGTCGACCAGCTTCGTCCGCTGAACGACGAGTCTCCTCAGACAGAGATATCCGTCGAGGACTGGGCCGAGCATTCGGGCCTGATAGACGCGCTGTATTTCAACGACCGACAGGAGCAGCGCCAAAATCTCGGTGAGCATTTTCAGGGCAAAGCCCTGCGTGAGATCGGCCGTCAGGGCGGTTTCTTCCAACTTGTTCAGCTCTTCGATTTCCCTGCTCATCAGCTCAGAGATCTTGTTCATGAGCCCTTTAGCGACGACGTACTGCTTCCACGGCTTGATCGGGATCAGGTTCCGGTACAGATCCATGAAGCAGGCGCCGTTCTCTCCTGCAACCGTCATTTCATCGAGATATCCTGTCAAGAGATCCAGCAGCTCGCGATAGCACCACGGAGATTTCGAAAGTGCCTTCGTAAGCGAGCACGCGACTTCACGAGCCTGTCTCGACGATTTGTTGAACATCAATTGCACGAGCCACGACTTCCTCGTGGTTTTCTCTCCGTCTACCACAATTCGAGACTTGACCGCACGCTTCCAGTTGAAAACACATTGCGCGACGGCGCTTCGATCTTTCTTCGACGTCCAGAAGGCGTAACTGTGTTCTGGATCTCTGTTGATCCACTTGGTAAGATCCAGTCCTGTGTCGATGCGCCGCCACTTGACCGGATCCTTCGATGAGTTGACAACTTCCCATATGATGTTCAGACAGGGAAGCGTTATGCATTCGAGTACGGCGTGAGAGCTGTAGTCGGATTGGAGCTGGAAAATCAGAAACACGTTCCGGAGCCGATCCTCCCAACAGGAGTCGATTTTGGCGACCGAAAGTGCGAGCAGCGACATTTCGTGGCGAACTGTCGTCGTGAGATCCGTCGAGTTCCCTCTGAGCGCGAGTTGTACCTTCTCGAGGATGAGACGGTTCAACATCGCGGTGGCGTCGGCGTTGTTCGTTGTCAGAGCCACCAGGAGACGTCGGACGTCTCGCTTCATCTTCGCGCTTCCCTGACGCAAATTGTGAGCGACGAGCTCGTTGATCAGGCCTTGCTCACAGAAGGCGAGAGCGAACGATGGTACCGAGCTCATGGCACGCAGGAGCGTCACGCAGAACACGATCGAAGCGGATACGCAACCGAAGCATTTTCCCGAAGAGACACTGCTCTGAGTCGGGGGCGGGACCCCGCGCTGCTTGCACTCGTAATCGACAAGCTCTTTCCGGCACGCTAGAATCTTCTGCACGGTTGCCGAGAGTTCATCGAATGTCGGCTTACAATCGGAACCGTATTTCTCAGCTAGTTGATGAATGGCGTGGTTCACCGATCCCGTGTAGCCAGCGGGCGCTTCCGTATCTTCGCCCCGCTCGTAGATTTTCCTCAATAAACCCTCGAGTACCGGTTTGTAGCTCTGCATGACGGTGTAGCTCTTGTCGGCGATGTCCAGCAGACTGTTCATGTAGACGACGGCCTTCTTTCTTTCTTCTTCCGTTTCGATTGGGTTGGCGGCACAGCACTGTTTGCAGTAGAGCTGGAGATCGAACTTCGCATACCGACAGAAGCCGCAGCTTATGCACAGGAACGGATCCTTCTCATCGTAATTTATCTGTCTGCACTTATGGCATTGGAAAACTTGTTCCCCACAGTTGTTGCAGACCCCCGGCGTCGCGGACACGGGAGTCGAACATCGGGGGCACTGCAACGATTCGGCGGCAGCCACGGGGTTTTCGTAGAAATCAGCAAATTCGATAATTAGGTTGCAGGCGACGATCGGCAAGGGAAAATCGATTTTCAGCTTGGATTGGCTTTGGGTGAGGGTGCAGCTCTTCGCTTTGTTCCAGAGACCTTTGTTGTGTCTGAGATCCACGACACTTTGAACGGTTCTGTTGTTGTAGTAGATGTTCACGGTCTTCACCATTTTGCTCTTCTTGATATCTGCGATGCTGAGCTCTATGCCAGATATCACGTAAGAGCTGATAAGCTTCACGATCTGGCTAGAGGTTGTGAATCGCGAGTCGACTTTCATGGTGCACAGTTTCATGAGGGCGAACGGTCGTTCGGGGTTGTTGCACACGAGACACGGTTCGCACTCGAGGTAGAAGCCGTCGAACTCGACTAGGCCTTGGATGGCGTTGTAGATCCACGCGTTGGGATGCTTCTCGATCAGTTGATTCTGCTGCTTGAGAACCGAGAGGATCTGGCTGCAGTACTCGGCTTCGGAGCCCTGGTTGTCGTTCAAGGTGAAGTAACCGAGGAGGTCGACAAAATGCGACGCTTTCCTACCGTACAACGGTAATTGCGGCCAGAGTTTCCACATCATGTCGAGTATGGCCTTCCGGCGTCGCGGCGGAGAATCGCCGTGCAGATGGTAGATGAGAGAATGCGCTTGCCAACGAACGCTCGCCGTATTTGAATCTAGCAGGAAGCAGACGAGGAATTTCGAGATCGAGGTATCGTCAAGATCTTGGATCAGGACTTCGGTCAGGCTCAGCGGGCCGTTCTTCTCGCAGATGGCGTACTGGAGCAGCTGGAGGACTGCCGGCGCCACTCCCTCGTTCAAGGTGAAAGAGGCGCGGAAGAGGAATGGGAAAACCCACCGATTCCATGCGCAGAAGTCCTGCCAGTTCTTGACGCGGACGGCGGCGATGTCGACGCAGCTCTTCAAATGTTCCATGAGATCGGACAGTGCGTCGTGTGTCGTGGCTCCGACGGATTCTTTCACGGCGCGCATATGTACGTTGAATCCATGGACGTCCTGAACGTAGCGATAGATTTCCTTCGAGCCGCAAAGCAGCATCAGGAGTTTCCGGATCTGTTTCTTAGCGAATGCGGCCTGCGGTATCATTAGAAGCTCGCACAAAATGTCGTCCCATTTCTCACCCATTGTGATTTTATCGGGAAGGATCTGTTTGATCTGACAAAGGAGTTTCAAAGTGACTTCTGTCAAGTCCTGCTTGTAGTCCTCGAAAACGTCCCCAGCGTGCGCCCGGACGAAATTTTTCGCGAAGAATGGGAGCATGTCGACGTTCGACAGATCCAGACGCTGTTTTTTCAGCAGGCCGTTCTCCGTCTGGGGACTGTAGTTCTTCCAGAAGACCAGAAGTGATTCCAGTAGCCCAAGGCAACGATCGATGATTTCCGCCTCGTAGAGCTTGACGGCGGTCACTTCGCTGGCCGGGGTCTTGCGACTCAGCATGAACGAGCACACTTTGAGCAGGAGGAATTGCACCTGAGTCTTCTTATTCGACTCGATCTGTGGGACGGAAACAATCAATTCGACTAGGGGTAAACATGAGAGTCGACGAAACGAAACACGACGGGGGATCTCCACAAGCTACTCACGGTTATGTCAGCTCCCATTTTGACGGCTTTCGCCGCGAGGATTTCCACGTGCTGTTGCTGAGAGACGAGTGCCAATAGCACTTGCAGGAACGGAATTGACGTGACGCCGTCTTCGAGGCGATCCAGGTGTCCGAGCATTTCTGACACCAACTCGCTGCTCTTCTTGTCGACTGGAATTGAGGAGTGCAAGTCTCAGCCATCCGAAAAGTAATCTCATGGTCCTCGAATTCCACCCCTATCCTAATGAGTAAAGTCCCGGCCCGATTCCATAGCGAAACAAGGGTACTCACGGTCCACCACGGAAGCGAGAACCTCCTCGTCGCTCTCGGCCATCAGCTCAGAAGCATCTCCGGCTTCGAGCGGCATGAATCCCTTACATTTCCTTGGCCTGACGGCTTTTATCAGGCCTTGCTTCGCACCGAATCCTATGCGGCTGTTCGGGTAGAGTAAGAGATCAACCAAGTTGTTGACGATGTTCTTCTTGTCGGTGAGCAGCATCGCGTACAGAATATCGACGAGGTTGTGTACGGTTGCGTCGACGTGAGCGAGGCCTAGAATTCGAGAGCATAGTACTGTTATCAATACAACAAATATTAACCATATATTATTATGATAACTCATTAGGGTACGTCTCAGAAAAAGCCCGGATCTCGGCTCTCATATTCCGGATCCTCGAATCGGGAGCGAGATAATTACCAATGCAGCTGACTGGGGCGACGAGAGCGTCCTTCGGTGATTCGCCGAGCAACCTCCAGAAATGACTCATTAGAGCATCGATGAATCCTGGCTCGGTCTTGGTCTCAACGTTCTCCGGGCGAACGACCGCGATCGATTTGACGATGCCTGTCATGCGATAGAAGGTTTCTCCGTCCGGTTCTCCTGATAGCGTGCTTGCGACGTGTTGCAGCAAGGCCTCATCCTTGAAGGTTCAGAGAAGGCAGCCTCGTTACGATATCTGACGGCGGAAGGAAGCGGATGCAGCCAGGCTCACGCATGGATTCGTCGTACTCACCTTGTGCGATGCGCAATGATTCGTGGTCACATGGAGCGATGCCATCAGCGCTTTGACCAGAGCCTGCAGCGGCGGTATATTCAACGGGAGTAGGAGCAGTTGGGACGCACAATCGAGAGCGACCGTTCTGAGAGGCTCTCCAGGAGGACACAGAGCGAATCCACCCTGGATGACTTCGAGAGAGTGTTCTAATTGCTTCTCCAGCGGATTCTGAGCTACCGTGGTTCCGTTGTTAGTGACGACCTGCTAGAAAGGAATGTGATTATCTCGAGGTCAAAATACGGTTTCCGGCAATTTCCGCTCCGCTGCCGTAATCGCTTCGAGCGATTCGGATGCTCGCACCAAATGTACGGGTATCGTCAACAAACCTCTTCATTCTCTTCTGGCCATCCAAAGACGTCCTTGCCCTTGCCGTAAACTTTCACCGAATCCAAAATGGTGACGAAAGCGGGATCGGTCGAGACGCCGAAGAAAAGCGACACCTGGGAAGAACAGATCACGTGAAGCGGGAAGAGATCATATGAGGGGCTTGCGATTTGAGACGATTCGAGGCAAAGAGAAAGATGGAATTCTCTCTCTTGGAAAAATCACCTTCTTGTCCGACTGAAGGCATTCTTCCCTGGAAAATGGCACGTCGAACCATCTGGAGCGGTTGCACGCAAGGGTGATGGTCCGTCCGAAAATTTCGACGTACGGAGGAATTCTCTGCACGTCCTGTGAGCCGACCGCGATTCGAATGCCTGCTCCGAACGACAAAGAGCTCAAATTAGACCGGTCGAAGACCAGCGTCGGTATGAATTGGTGGGAACGGGCTCTCTGAATCCTTTATTCGATCACTGACCCGTGATGACCGCACTCGAGTCGTTGTTGATGATGTCTAGTCTGAAGCCGGTACTTTTCGTGCAAACGACGTGCATCGAGTTCCCCAACAGTCTCGTTTTCAGTTGCTCGCGGTGGTAAACTTCCAGCAGATCGTTGCCCTCGAACTCGATGTCTTGGAGTTGACCGCAATGTTCGAAAAAGTCCACTGGGAACACTGGTTTCCCACCGATAGAGCTCATACTCTGTTGCGGAGACACCAGAATCGAAGGTTTCTTGGATTTTCTGGCACTCTTCTTCTCCGGAGCCGCGGATGATGGGCGAAGGCTCAACCTGAAGGGAATATGAAATTACGGTTCCTCCCCTATCGAGCAGACATCACCAGATCGAAGGGATTCTGATACAGGGGAACCATTCTCACCAGAAACTTGTTTCCTGCAAACTCGCCGCGAACACCTTGAGGCTCCCGTCTTCGCAGAGCACGACCATATTAGTCCTCATGTCACCGTTGCGGGTTTGGTGGCGCAACGCGACCATGTCAGAAATCTTCGACTTCGCCGTGGGCTGAAAAAATACCTCAATGTTGTTATAGAGTAGGCATGGGCGAGGATCACAGATTACCGCGGCCGTAACCATGGTCGATATCCAATGAATAGAACACCCATCACATTCGGACATCCACAAGCAGCAGGAACTCACGAGCTTGATTTCTTGAATGCTAGAGAGGCCTGGTTTCAACATGATCACGACAGGATTGTTCGAATATTGCTGCATGGCGAGAATCATTCCCGGGTGATTGGCAACTTCGCCCCACGCGCAAAGCGGCTGTCCAGTTGTCAGTTTATTCGACTGCGTTGTTGGCGTCTTGCTCTGCAACAGGACAGTAACATTAGAAACTCGGCCGGGGAAACGCTCCCGGAGCTGTAGGAGGAAACAATTCGATGAGTTCTCACCTGTAATTGGATCAAAGAGAGCGGGCCCAGGGTACCGTCCATGTTGGTCAGAGGCGCGACGTAGCTCTTCGAATTGAGGTAGCTCAAGAAAATCATCTGCATCGAGTGCGAGTAATAGATGGAAATTCCGGCAACTTTTTCCCCGGTCGCTCCTGGGAACTCGATCTGGAAAGGGAAACTCAATGGGTTGCCGGATTCGCGCCGTCCTCCCTCTGGAAACAAACCGAGCGAACGAGACACGCACCTGCATCACGTTGGTCACGTAGAAACTGCCGTTTGTCGCCATGCTCTCGGTGCACAATTTCTGATAGTAGACATAACCGTCGGTGGACATGACCAAAAGATGCCGTTCGTGATTATCCACCACGAAGGTGACATCTTTCACGTTACCGGATGCCAGGATGAAATGGTACATCGGTGACGTCACGTCAGCGGACAAGTCGAAGATCTTGACGAACTCGTGGGTGACGACCGCGAGCTCCGTTTGACTTCCCGGGATCCACACGGCCTTGATGATGTAATTCTGACCCTCCAAGCCCACGTTCAGGATCAAGTGGTTCATGAGGTTGCCCGTCATACTGAACGTCAACGTATGGCATTCCTTCAAACCGCAAACCGCCAAATGCTCATCGTTCGCCTGGTTCGCCGTGACTGTGATGACAGTGAAGCCGATCGGCACGCTACTGAGTCGGACGATGGTGAGTCTCTTACGGGAGCTATCCGCCAACTTGAGCAGCGTGTTCAGCTGGAGGAGCGTGATTTTGCCTTTCTCGTGCGAAACCGCGACATGTTGCCGCTTTCCGGACGTCATGGCGCACATGGCGACTCTCCTTATATTGTGGTTTTGAAGGAGTTGCCTCACGAGCGGTTCTCCGCCGAGGTTCATTTTGACGTTTTCGAAGGCGCCTTCCTGGGAACCGATGGTCGCCTGCATCAGACTGTCGACCGTGTCGAACGCCATCGGTAGGTGGTGCATCTCCTCAAGAGCTCGTTCCGCGCGGGCTGCGCTACCGTCGGGTGTCGCGATCGCTTCCTCCTTCAACTTGGGCAGGATGTTGTCGGTCACATGGGTGAGCACGCACTCGATCATCACAGGGTTGAGGAGAACCTTCTTCAGCTCGTTTTCGTGCGGCTTCAGTGCGAGAGCCAGCTGAGGTATTTCGCGACTGCTGTCCGTGGCACCACTCGTCCCCTTCGATCCCAATGAATCGATGGACGTCGAGTTCTGTTTATCGAGCTGCGCCACGTCTGTGCCGTTCGTGTTCTGCTGGCTGGACAGGGCCGAAGTCATCGTTCTCAGCTCGATCGCCAGACAGCTTCCGTCGTTCTTGGCCCCGCAATCGCAGAAGAACGAGCCGTACTTCGCGTACGTCACGTCGTGGTCCTTGTGACAAACCTTGGCGCAGACACTGCACACCCCAACGCCCTCGATCATTCCGCACGTGTGACAGTGGTACCAGTGCTGGCTCATGAATTCTTTCTGAGTGACGGTGTACGTGCACAGTTTCGTCGAATCATCGTCGCTGAAAGACTCCGTCGACTCATCATCGTAAGCAACATCCGAAGACTCGTCCGATGAGAGATATTCCTTCTCGTTCACCTCGGCGTTGTTCAACCTGATGGAGGAAACAAACGGGAAAAAATTAAGGGGGGACCGAAATCGGGGACTACCGCGATCCCCTCGCTAGAACCAATCTCGAATAGATTGAATATCGGTGCTCCGGATGAACTTACGCTTTCAAAGCTGAAACCAGTTTCGCTTGGTATGCGACGATGGCCGTGAATCCTGCATTCGAAGGCAACGCTTCCATCCACTGAGCGCAAATGGTTGCTAGCTCCAGGTGCCAGCGAGCTTCGCTACAATTTGCGAGCTGAGACAAACTTGCCATTACCTGGGAAAACAGGGACGGAGCCACCGAAGAGACATAACCGGCGAGAGCGATTAGCGCATCGAACAGAAGTCGATCCAGCTTCGGATGGCGGACAGCCGAAACTGTCGATGAGATGAACGATTCTAACAGATTGTCGCAGCCTCCAGCGGAGTCGTCCTGAAAAAAATCAGAGAATCCTCAATCAAGCTCTCTCCAGGAACTCGACGGATTGCGATATGGAAGCGCATCCGATTTCCGCGTCCTCGTGATTCACACTTACGAGAATGTCGTCGCAGGAGACGATCGAGAACAACCATTCCTTCAGTCGGTCGCTATCCAAGGCCCGCAAGAGCCTACTGATCTGACTGAGTTCGGCGGCGAGCTCCTCGTGCTTCCAGAAATTGTTGTACAACCGAAGTACGTGAAGTCCATATGTCGGATAGGTGGGAACTTCGCAGGCGGAGCACAAGATCTCCCACAAGTACCGCTCCTGAGCCGTTTTCAGCAGCGCTTGGCGTCCCTGCGGAGTCGGAGAGTGGAGGTTTTGGAGGAATTAGGTCGCAAGCCTCGATAGATGTTATTGGAAGTTCTCAAGATTCGCTTGGAATGGAGGAGAAAATTCGCGGACGAACTCACTTGGGGCTTTTCGATAACGCTCTCAAGGTATTTAATGCATTCCTCAAAGATCAGCTCCATGTTCTTGATCGCTTGAATGTGCTTGGTCAGTAATGTAAAGCAATGGCCTATGACTTGAGTGTGCAGATCCGTTTCGTATCCCCCGGGATAATCTTGCAGCGCGAGAACAGCGAAGTCGCTCTGACTTTCGGTCGTGGCATCGATCAGCAGAGGAATCAGTTCCTTCGCATACTCGGGCTGGAGCTGCTGATGTTGTTGTCTGTTGGAGAATCCACGATTGAAACTGAGCGTCTCGAGGAGCTCGCCGGGAATATATGCGCTGACGTAGAGTTAAGACTTACGCGTAAAGTGCATTCGAGAAACGCAGAGCGAAATGCAGGACCCTTTTCAGCGGGATCGCGTGCGATAGACTCTTCGTCCTCGATAGGGACCCTATATGACCGTTCGCGATCGAGGCGATCAGACTCTCAGACGGTAGGGGATCCGCAGCGAAATCAGAGCGCCAGGAATCCAAAGAATCGCCGAGCGCAGTATTCCAGCAGTTCAAAATCGACGTGAGACCATCAGGGAGGCACGAAGCGATGGCCAAGGTGATGCCGGATAGTGAAGTGTCGATCGAATGAGAGGTCGACATCTCTAGGACGACGTCGTAGGCCGGCTCTTCGCACTTGAACTCTTTCAAAACAATCTTATGGATCGACGATCTGCAGATCCGGATGAGTTGGAGGACTTTGAGGAGGAGGCCGTCCAGCAGCTCTTTCGTTTCCTCGTTGCTGTCTGAAATGAGCGAAAGGAAAATTAAGAAAAGAAGTCCGAACACGTTCGACGTCGAGACAATGACACGGAACCCCGAAGCATTGCTCGGACAGCCAATAAACGGAATCCTCACCGACGTCGTTGAAGGAGTGCTGGAGTTTGCCGAGAACAACTTCGATCCAGAACAGTTCGGTGATCGTCCAAGAGCCGTCCTCCAATTTCTTGATCAGATCGCAGAGAACTTCAATTTCATGTCGGGGTCCCGAAAACTGTTGGATAGTGCTCTCAAGCAGCTGAGCCACCTTCGAAGGTTCATTGTCTTCAAGCTGCCTGTGGATCCCTGGATTCACCGGAATGAGAGAAACAATCAGGCTCCTGATCTTCCAATTTTCGTCGCGATCGAGGACCGATCCCCGCGACAGTCCTCCCCGAGGCGCCAGAAAAATTTCCACTTAGCATCGATCGATTTCTTGGTCTAAGCTCGCGATTCGTGCTTACCGTCCCTCGCCCATGCTGATAGATTTTTGTGCGCTAAGCGCGGAAGCAGCACACATTGGAGAAGAGGATGCGGACTCAGGCTCCGGAGCGAGTCGACGGATGGGTGCAGGCTCATGAACAGCCTCCAGGCTCCAGCCATACAGTATTGGATCGAGCACAGGTCGATATAGCTCGTGCTCGCAGTACATTCTCGGCCAAGATGCAACAACTCAATGATTCGGCTGTAGAGCGCCGGATAGCGATTCTGCCCTCTCTCGAAGAGGAAATTCACGGCGAAGCCATCGAGTTTGGGGTATTGACCGGGCTGACTTTCTTCGCATAAGGTGTAGAAGCGGAGCTTCCTGTGAGGTCCTTCCTGCATGACGAAATTCTCTTCGAGCTCTTTGTAGGTGAAGTATTTCAGCTCCGTCGTCCCTCTGTCGAATATGTTCGCCGTCACCTGCTCCGTCAGCCACGTCGGGGCGGCATAACAATGCTTGAGCAGATACTCGAATATGTGGAGAATACGTCCAAGAGCCAAGTAGGTCCGGTTCGATTGAGTGTCGCAGATGACCTTCACGAGGCTGAGCAGAATGTCTTTGCGCTGCATGACGGGTATCGAGTCGAAGAGGTATAGCAGCAGTTGGATGTGCTCCACATTGAGGTCCTGGCCATTCGCGTATTCGGTTCGGCCGGCCTTCGACAGTGAGGCGATCATCCGATGCCAAAGACCGACCTTCAGGGCTTCGGAGTTCGAGCTCAAAAGAATCGCCTGAGCCAAGATGTTCAGACACCTGGGCGAGACGTCGAGAGGCCAGCCATTCTGTTTCCAGGGATTTATGTCTGCAAACGGAAGAATTGAGCTCGAAACTGATCCGGATAACACCGGCATATGCGCGGAATACGCTGAGAGGGGATAAACCTCTAACTTACCCAGTCGGGACAGCAACTCGTTCTGGAGCTCGACGCTGAGAATATTTTTTGCGAACAGATTGTGAACAAAACGCTCGATGGCGCTGGTGAACTGCTCGTTCTGAATCCCCGTGGTCGAGTCTAGATTCTTGATAATGTAGGACAACGTCACCATGTCGGCGGTCGTCAGTTTTGATCTAAAGTAGGCCTCCATATAGGGACCGGAGACAAGTTGAGTTTCCAGGAACTGGATCGATTTCGTGGCGAGGAGCATGTAGTCGTTGTCTTGAGGCGCGTTCGAATTCTGATTGAGAACCTCTTCGTACCAGGCGCCCAATATCGGCTCCGAATCGTCATCATCGTCCTCTGGGTCCTGGCGGGACGTCAGCGCTGCTTTGCAGAAACTCCGAGAAAGGCAACCCACGAGGTGGCTGCATAATTCTAGATCGAGCAGAATTTTCAGCTTCTCCACTGGAAATGCAATTGCCCCGATTAGAGGAAGTAGCACCGCATTCGACTCAGTCGGGAATGATCGCCACTCGATGTGACTCTGCTCGTGAGGCACCCGGCATCGATCCATGAAGTTATTGTGATGCACGCTGGGTGGACTGCTCAAATTTCCAATAAGAGATCGAATGAAACCTACCGGTGAAGTGCGACTTCATGTCTCTTTTGAGTTTCTCCACGGTCCACGTCTCGCCGCCCTCGAGCACACATTCGAACAACTCGAAGAGCAACTGGATCAGAGCGAAGTTGATAGGAACACTCGTTGTCTCCGAGCTGATCAGCGTATGACAGGTGAGCAGATGTACATTCGACTTGAAGTTGGTGTCGACGATGAGCGAGGATATGAAGTGGTACAGATCCAGCTGGAAAACATTATCGTCTCATTTGTGGTTCAGCACAAGGTTCAACCATTTCGACCTTGAGCGCTCCACGATCCATAAGAAATCGAGAGAAATCCCTTGACTCACGCAACGTTTGAGGAATTTGTCATCCTCTTGCTTCCGAATCGCGATTTGAATAATGGCATTCAGCGACTCCACGAGAACTTCATCCGAAATCGTTCCCAACCTAGAAACTTCATCGATGACAGCCAGCTGATTGATTTCGAGAGCAGCCTTCATCAGGGCGTCCGGTAACTTGTGATAGCGTATCCTGGGAAAATGAGAGGAAATTTAAAAAATAGACTCAGTGAATTCATGCCTTCTGCCTACGCTTCCAAGAAGAAAAGTCCCCAGTCATTGGATAGCACTCACCATTCTGTATTCTTCTCGTAAAGAAGAGTCTTCCCGTCGACGACAGATCGTTGTGCGTGCCAGCAAGAACTTGTTTGTGGATGTTCCACCGACGACAAAATTGGATCAAATCTTGTGGTCGGTCGAGTCGTTTCGTCCAACTCAAACAGATCCACAGGTACCACGGGCAGTATGAAGTCCGTGAAGTGCTTGCCATTCTTCGACAAGGCTCGCAGGATTTGACTCGTCTACAGAAAATAGAGATTTGGAACATGTTAATCATGGTTTCACATTCGTTTGGACATTCGACACAAGGAAAAAACCTGAGAGAAAATGATTCGAAGACACACCTGAATGACGAGGTTAGGGTCATCTTTTATCGAGGAAGGCGCGAAGTCAACTTGTAACCTCTTAAGTACACATACACTCGTTTCGTGGAGTGTCTTTGCTTGAGCTCGCGAGAGTCTCGATACCTGGCCGAGGATACTCTCCGTGAGACTTTCGAAACGCGCGATCGGGCGACTGAGTCAGAGAAGAACTTTCCGAATATCCATCACTGTAATCTCAACTCACCTTCGAGACGTAATTGCAGAATAAGAGCACTACATCGAGAAATGTGTCCGATGGATAAGCTTCGCAACTGGAAGAAAGAGAGAATTGAGTATCTATAATGCGTATCCCGACATGATCTCAGATCCGTTGGAGATGGCGTATTCCCCCAAAATCAGATTCCTGCATCCAGCCGACCGTCCCGCGCTAGTTCTTCTATTTCGGATAACACGCATTCAACTCGCAATGGAAAGATCGGATAAGCTTTCGAGGCTCTCGTCGCTGTTCCGGTATCGCGAGTTGAATTCTGAATTTTGCCAAGGGAAATGAATAGCTGGTAAGCCTCGACGCGTCCAGGTCGTACTCGGACTCGAAACGCATCCCGCTGGCTCTCAAAGGCCACAGCGTGGAACAACCGGACTCGGTAAGTTGCAACTCACTCCCTCAAGAGATTTTAGTCGTCACTCACCTCCGCCGTATAGCATCAGCTACGAGGTCCAGATCTGCGAGGGTCCCCCTGAGAAGAGAATCGCCCCCTCGGTCTGCCATACCACCTGCTGTCGTTTGCCAGAATGTAGAATTTTCGGAAATTTTTCGGCTGCCGAGATAGATGTGTGGTTCGATGGCTATCGGCTCACAGTGTCGTCGGCGATGATGATCTCAGCTGCGTCGATCCAAACACGCTCGTTCCACACACGACCGTTCATAACAGCTACTAACTAAGTAAGCCGATACGAAGGAGCATGAATTCTATATATACTCGTTCTCTATCGCTCTGTGGAGCAGTCGATGACTGCACAGCTGCCCCCCTCAAAGGCTGAGAACCTTTCGGAAACGTCGGAGAAAAGCCTCGCCGATGAGGTGTCTCTGCGCGGGCTGTCTGATCAGCTGACTGACGAGTGACAGGCGGCAGTGAGCTCTCTCACTCAGCCGCAGCGTGTTCTACAAATGAGACCTCGATTGAGATAGGCCACGTTAGACAAGACATGTCCCTTCCGCTCGTTGACGATTCAAGACCTTCTCAGATACAACTTAAGCTCCGCACTTCAACGCTGGTGATCGGAGCAAAATTGCTCTCCATCTTGGGATACATCGATGACTCTCCTCTCGTGAGAGCTCAAGGGAATGCTCCATTCAGATCAGGAGATTTTAGAAGCTCAGGGAGCATAAGGACTCCTCCGCCTCACAACGTCATACGCGAGCTCGCAGTGCTGCATCAGTGCGGATCGGACGCGCGAAGTCAGAGCGAGGTGCTACCTCCATATCATGAACGGCTCAGGGGCTCTTTGAGGTGTTCGATCAAATTAGCGACAGAGGGAATCGGGACCCCGCTCGATACAGGCGAGACGCTCCACCAACAAACTGCGAAACCTCGCAGTTTGTTGGGAGGACCTCACAGAAAAACAGAAAAGGGAAACCTCGCAGATTGCCGCATGCTTCGATACGATCAAGCTGTTCGAAGACTCATACTATGATCGACATCTATCCGGGACGTCCCGATTCCGACCATCACGGGTGAACTTGAGCTTACGACATCTCGAGCCAGAACCCGCTGGGAGGTCCAAGGCTGCAATCGAACGGCTCGCTCGGAGCGAGTCCCGATATACATATCTCCGTGGCCGGAGGGGGATGTTCTTATCCACGGAGGAAACCTCCGATGCGTTAGTCCAACCAGGCGACGTCCTTTGAGGATGCCCCGTTGAAGCCTAATTCTCTTGGATTATATGCGAAGAGCGAACGAGGATAGTGGACAACGTGGTTATCGCGGATTTCCGTGTCGACCCTCGCCGAAAACCGATAAAAGCGAACAAACTCCATACAGCTCCCCTGTCGACCATGAATGGCCCGGGACAGGATTTGGGACAACTCTTGAGTCGAATGGGAGACCTGGCCGTCCCTCGCAAGTGAATCGAGGGACGCAATGCACCAGTGCATCAGAAGTGAAAAGTATGGAGTTGGGAATTTTTTCTCACCCCATTCTGATAGGAATATCACAGTCACGTGACCTTACTACTCGGTGACTGACACGACTCGCACTACGGTATCTCGGCCGGGCAAGCGTAGGCGACTCGACAGAGGAGACGCATCATCACGTTCTCCAATCGGTGAAGGTGAGGACCTCTCGCTGCCTTGGGGGAGGTAGAGGCATTCTGCTCCGGGAGCCTGGAGTTCTCGAGGATCGAGGCTGGTCGCTGATCTTTTTCATTAGGGCAGACCAACCCGCTCAATCGGCCATCATACGTATCAAGAAACTCTGACCGATCTAGGAGAGCTGCGCTCTTAGAAGGGTCTCCATTTTTCGGACCTTCCGTGCCGGCTGTTGAACCTCGAGATGCCGAAATAACATTGGTTGGCGCCAGGTCTCGCATGTTGCGCTAGCCAGCATGATCAGATGTTCCTCAGGTAATCCTCGATCGGAGCCCTAACAGAGATCCCGGCACAGGTCCTAGCGGACATGATAATGCTTCGGGAATCGGTGACTTCTTCGGAGAAACATGCCATTCGAATATGCCGTGGATGCATGAGCATCGGTCGATATGCCCGAGAGACTTGCGGCTATCCCAACGGGTTAGCTGCGGGAAGTGGTCAGGTGCGGCTAAGTAAATTAGGGACATCCAGCAATCCCTTGACTCTCTAGCGAGAGTGAATCTTAAGGACACAGGATCGGTACTCTGCCTCAGCAACGTCGCTCCATCAATCATCAGGAAGGTTGATTGTGCGTACAGTAACATGTAACTGAGATTCGAATTCCTTCAAAATCATGAATGCTCTTATGGATTTATTGCGAGATTCCTCCGTTCAACTACATCACCTTCTTTCTGTACTTCAGAGACTACAGAAGCGGCCTATAGCCCGGGGAATTCAGATCTTATGCTGTTCGTCGAATGTCCGGATGTCGCGACGCGCTCCTTGACGTCCCTGCTCTGTGCAGGACAATTCCACGTTTTTAAGGAGGCCGCGCAGGTGTACGAACTTTCGTCATGAGGAATCTCGCATCTCAAAACCACGTATCGGGACCTTGAGCATGGGGAATTTTATAACTCGCGATTTCTCAGATAGAGACGGAGATAACGATCTCCGTTGGCGGGTGCGACTGGAAAGAGATCTCACAAAGTCTAGCATACCGCTCTCACATGTTACAGGGGCGGATTCGGACCGAGAGCCAAAGTGGTGACCCATCGGAAGATTGGACGTTCCGATATCCTCCCAGAAGGATCAACTTGAGGTGTATTCTGATTTCGTTGTCATACTCCCGTCTCCGATATCGACGTAATAATAGAATTCCGGGTTATGATCATTCCGCCCCTTATTTTCCTCTCTCGATTCTGGATAACAGAGCGTCGTAGTAAGAGGATCGCATCCAGCGCACGGACAAGACCAAATCGGTGGATTCGAGTCCCATCTGAATGCGGCAGTGATTGAGGTATCTTTGCAGTGTTGAAAAGCTCGATAAGACACAACTCCGCCAGTCAATCAGAGATTCTGTCAAGATCTGTCTGAAGTTTCGTAGATCGCGACTTTTATAATAAATCCGAGAGTTGTAAATTTGAAGACAGCAGCTCGAAACAGCACTTACTCAGTCGAGGAGACGGGCCTTGTATTCCAAGGGACAACCTCGTCGTATCAGTCGGAGTCTGACTGACTGAGTAAAGCTTCCATTACGTGGATTCGCGGTGATAGATATTACTTGTTGCCCTGATTATTGGTGTCATTGGCCGTGTAGCTGCAACGGTCTGAGTCAAACTCAGTGTCCGATAACGAATGATGGACTAGTGGTGACGCAGACACGGACAGCGGCTTCCGCTCACCTCCTGACATAACTCAATGTAATGACAGCGGACGATTCCACGATTATTGATTCCCACAACAGAGAACTTCTTGCATCTTCCCATCAGCGGCTGGATGCTCCGAAAATTCCACGTACTTTTGAGCCATCGACGCTGCTCGATCCACCCTCCACTCAGCACTCGAATTCCCCCTCACTACAGCTACATTAGTTAAACGACGGTGTAGATTATTATCCAACTGAAACCCCGCTTTGATTTGTCTCCACTTTCTCGGTTCTCGGTCTGGGACTGTCGGTCTCTCTGTCCGTCTGTCCCGTTCTGAGCGCCACCGATGATGAACCACTCAGACGCATGTTCTGTCGGTGTTTTTCTCTTTTGTTGAAACCCCGAAGCTCGTCGCTGCAATAATTATTTATCTTCCTCCAGCCGTTTGTTCACTAGGGAACAGCAAACCATCAGCGATACCGAAGGCAACAACCGAAGAGGAAATTGAAGACACCGCCGTCCTCCTGGTTGTTGTCGTCGTCGACGTTCTTGTTGGCCGGTCGTCCAGCCGGCCAGCCTGAGTCGTGGTCTACGAAAACAGCTCGGCGGTGATACAGTTTTATGATTTCAAGAGCGAACCGTCGACCGAAGTAATCTGATTGTCCAAAACAAGACAGCGACGACAAATCGAACATGAGAGCACTACGGCCTGGGCCATTTATTGGAGGATCGTGGATCTCTTTCTCTGGCAGCGGAGTTTGCCATCGTCGTATTCATGGTAGTCACGACTTTTTTTCAATATTATAATTAATTGCATTTTCGATCAGTCGGCCCATGGACGGATTGTGTCGATGTCCGCTCATCTTCTCACAAAGGTATGGGAGCCAGGGATGCGAGCTGGGAGACCAGGGTCAGAACCTCGAGATTCGGGATCGCCTGGCGAGGAACGAAATCGGTCGATGCGCTCAGAGCAAAGTTTGACTCCGAACTTTAGCCATGCAGGTGCAGGGATAAGAGCAGAATTTTCAAAACCGAAGCGTTCACGACTTGAACCACCGACGCGACGCCGGCTACCGTCTGCTTCAAAGCGCTTCGACAGACGTCGCTTCTGACGCAGATCTACTCCGTTTTGCGCTGCGTGACTTACCACGCCTTCATGTGATCCGTGCGCGCGCATTCGCTCTGATGCCAGGAATCATAATCATGGCACGACGACAGCGGCCGCCCATGGCACAATCACGGGCATGAAAGGGTGCCGGTTCACTGTTCCTGCCGAATAAACGCCTAAGGATACTTTTGTTCTATTTTTTCCGAATCAATATAATTCCGGCATAATCGGCCTTTCCCGGTCCATCATCGGAGGGATCGCTATCCAGTCACGAGTCGCGTTTGCTTTCCGCGCATCTTCACACCTGCTGCGCGGTACTGAATCATGTTAACTCCGGGAGCGGGTCTCTGAAATGAATCTCTGGAAAGAGAGGATGTTTTCAGGCACAGATTTCCCTGTTGCCGGAGCGTGCGCTATCCCCGAGAACGCGTTTTTTTTGGAATTTCACGCGATCTGGACCGGGCGGTATAATCCTAAATGGAGTTCTGGATGAATCCGGTCTGCAAAGCCTTATCCGTGTTGCTGGGCTGGAAAAATCGTGAGGTCTCTGCTTGAGAACTCTCATCGTACTCGAAGCCTCTCAGAGCTAGGCCGCGGAGTTTCCGCAGCCGCTTCGGTCGTTTCGCCAACATCCGAGGCTCGAAATCAGCTCAGGGGGCTCCGCAGCA